GCTCCGACTGTTAGCCCCAGCTTGTGTTAGACGGGGTTACACTCCCCCTGAAGATGCAGGTTCGCAGCTTGGGGGTGATCCTGGACTCAACGCTGAGCCTGGAACCCCAGGTCTTGGCGGTGGCTGGGAGAGCTTTTGCACAATTAAAACTTGTGTGCCAGCTGCGCCCGTACCTTGGGAAGTCAGATCTGACCACGGTGGTCCACGCTCTTGTTATATTCGATTGGATTACTGCAACGCACTCTACGTGGGGTTGCCTTTGAAGACTGCTCAGAAACTTCAACTAGTCCAGCGAGAAGCAGCCAGATTGCTCACCGGAGCGGCGTACAGGGAGCATACCACCCCCCTGTTGCGTCAGCTCCACTGGCTGCCGATCCAATTCCGAGCACAATTCAAAGTGCTGGTTTTGACCTACAAAACCCTATACGGTTCCGGCCCAGTGTATTTGTCCGAACGGATCTCCCTCTACCTCCTCGGAGTTTAAGATCTTCTGGGGAGGCCCTGCTCTCGACCCCGCCTCTATCACAAGTGAGGCTGGCGGGGACGAGGAGCAGGGCCTTCTCGGTGGTGGCCCCTCACCTGTGGAACTCACTCCCCGGGGAGATTAGATCAGCGTCCTCCCTTTTGACATTCAGAAAAAAACTGAAGACCTGGATATGGGACCAAGCTTTTGGACGTTCTGGCAGCTAAAGGAAAAACCCGATGATGAGCAGGAATTGATGGAACGGAATGGACATTCGGAACTCTGAACACTGAGCATGAGATTGTTTATGTATTGATGTTTTTAATGTTTTTAATCTGTTAATCTGTTAATTTGTTAAACTGTTTTTGTATGTTTGTATAATCTGATATAGGCATCGAATTGTGCCTTCGTTTGTAAGCCGCCCTGAGTCCCCCCCCCTTCCCCCCCCGGGGGTGAGATGAGCGGGGTAGAAGTAATTGAAATAAATAAATAAATAAAATTCTACCAACTAGCATGTTTGAAAACATGCAAATATGAGTAGACCAATAGTTTTTTTCTTTTTATTATTTGTTCACTCAATTTCCTTTTTTTTTCATGGCTGTTTCTGTGTCGTTTGCAAATTGCAAATTATGACACTGTGCAATACTTGACTTGTATTACTTTAAATCCATAACAATCTCTCTCTCTGTGTGTGTGTGTGTGTGTATACACACACATACATATACACAGAGAGAAATATACTTGCTGATCAAAAGGTTGCAGGTTCAAATCCGAGGAGTGGCATGAGCTCCTGCTGTTAGCCCCAGCTTCTGCCAACCTAGTATGTTTGAAAACATAGAAATGTGAGTAGATCAATAGTTTTTTCTTTTTTGTTCACTCAATTTTCTTTCTTTTTCATGACTGTTTATATGTCATTTGCAAATTGCAAATTATGGCACTGTGCAATAATTGACTTTATTACTTTAAATCCATAACAATCTTTCTCTCTCTCTCCCTCTCTCGCTCTCTTTGTGTGTGTGTGTGTATATATATACACACACACACACATATATATACATACATACACACACACACATACACAGAGAGAAATATACTTGCTGATCAAAAGATTGCAGGTTCGAATCCGGGGAGTGGCATGAGCTCTCACTGTTAGCCCCAGCTTCTGCCAACCTAGCAGTTCGAAAACATGCAAATGTGAGTAGATGAATAGGTACCGCTCTGGTGGGAAGGTAACAGTGCTCCATGCAGTCATGCTGGCCACATGACCTTGGAAGTGTCTACGGACAATGCCAGCTCTTCGGCTTAGAAATGGAGATGAGCACCACCACCCCAGAGTCAGACACAACTGGACTTAATGTCAGAGGAAAACCATTATTATTATTATTATTATTATTATTATTATTATTATTATTATTATTATTATTATTATTATTGACTTGTTTGTGAGTTGTTTGTTTGCTTTCCTACAGGGAGCCCAAGACACAGCTCTGGTGAGAAAGTAACAGCGCCCTATGCAGTCATGTCAACCATATGACCTTGGAGGTGTCTATGGACAATGCCAGCTCTTCAGCTTAGAAATGGAGGTGAGCACCACCCCCGCAGAGTCAGACATGACTGGACTTAATGTCAAGGGAAAACCTTTACCTCTAAAAAGTACCATATTTCTCCCAAAATAAGAGCTCCAAAAGACATATTAGGGCTTATTTTCAGGGGGTGCCTTATTTTTTCACGTACAGACATTGCCCAAGCTACAAACATCCAACTTACAAACAACTCATAGTCTAGAACGTGGGTGAGACAACAGGTGATCGGGCATTCAGACAACGTGGGCAGTGCAGCGGACTTGATGGCGGAGGAGCATCACTTCAATGCTGGTGGTCTTTGCTTCTTCCAGCATGTTGACATTTGTTCACCTGTCTTCCCAAAAGATTTGCAGGATTTTTCGGAGGCAACGCTGATGGAATCGTCCCAGGAGTTGTGTATAACATCTGTAGACAGTCCACGTTTCACAGGCGTATAGCAGTATTGGGAGGACAATGGTTTTATAAACAAGCACCTTGATATACCTACGGATGTCCCGGTCCTCAAACACTCTCTGCTTCATTCGGGAAAATGCTGGACTTGCCAATATCTATTAGTTATCTATTAGTTGTTGGGTCATTTAAATTCACTCTATTGCAGTTCATCCATTTGGACGCTGGGTGTCAGATCCTCCTTTCAGTTTTACAAATAGCCCATGTTTTCCCTGGAATCAAATTTCTCCCACAATTGGTGATGTGTTAAACCAAGTAAATACCTTTCTTGCAAACCTCATTTTAGTGCTTCCATTTTTCAAATTATTTTAAATGGTTCAAAAGCCTCTTTTTTTTTCTAACACAGCACTGTGAAACATTCCAGTTTTAATATTATTAGATGTATTGTACATCGCTTATTGTATTCATATGTTTTTGTATTTTTCTGTGCGGTTGTTTGCGTTTCGGTTTTTATTTTGTTGTATTTTATTTTATTGTAATTTGTTGTTTGGGCTTGGCCTCATGTGAGCCGCCCTGAGTCCCCGTTTGGGGAGATGGTGGCAGGGTATAAATAAAGTTGTTTATTATTATTATTGGGTTGTTGTAGGTTTTTCTGGGCTATATGGCCATGTTCTAGAGGCATTTTTCTTCTGACGTTTCGCCTGCATCTATGTCAAGCATCCTCAGAGGTAGTGAGGTCTGTTGGAACTAGGAAAAAGGGTTTATATATCTGTGGAATGACCAGGGTGGGACAAAGGACTCTTGTCTGCTGGAGCTAGGTGTGAATGTTTCAACTGACCACCTTGATTAGCATTTGATGGCTTGGCAGTGCCTGGGGCAATCTTTTGTTGAGAGGTGATTAGATGTGCCTGATTGTTTCCCCTCTGTTGTTTTGCTGTTGTAATTTTTTAGTTTTTTAATATTGGTAGCCATATTTTGTTCATTTTCATGGTTTCCTCCTTTCTGTTGAAATTGTCCACATGCTTGTGGATTTCAATGGCTTCTCTGTGTAGTCTGACATGGTGGTTGTGAGAGTGGTCCAGCATATTATTATTATTATTATTATTATTATTATTATTATTATTGCACATATACAAATATATTCAATACATTTTATGAGTCTTGCAACAGAGGTCGGAATTACTGTGTTCGTAAATGGAATATGCTCGCATTTTTTATCTTGTTGTGTGCCGTCAAGTCATTTCCACCTATGGTGACCATAAGGCAAACCTTAACTTTGCAGTTTCATGGTTACTCAATGCTATTTAAGAATACTAATTGCAAATTCACACTTGCTTTAAACCAGTGCTTCTCAACCTTCCTAATGTCGTGACTCCTTAATAGAGTTCCTTAAGTTGTGGTGACCCCCAACCATAAAATTATTTTTGTTGCTACTTCATAACTCTAATTTTGCTACTGTTATGAATTGTAATGTAAATATCAGAAATGCAGGGTGTATTTTCATTCACTGGACCAAATTTGGCACAAATATCCGATATGTTCACATTTGTATACTGGTGGGGTTGGGGAGGCAGGGGCGGCTCAACCCATTTTGCAAAGTAAGCATTTGCAGTATAGTTGATTTTGCCCAGGGGCGCTCTTGGGGGAAAATAGACCTTGGCATATGCGAGTTGTAGTTACTGGGATGTATAGTTCACCTACAATCAAAGAGCATTCTGAACTCCACTAATGATGGAATTGAACCAAATATGGCACACAGAACTCCCACGACAAACAGAAAATATATATCAGTGTTTTGTTGGGGTGAGGTGGGGGGATACTGTTTGCTTACCATAGAAAATTACCTAGGGCCGCCTCTGTGGGGAGGGAATTGATTTTGTCATTTGTGAATAGTAGTTGCTGGGATTTATAGTTCACCTACAATCAAAGAACATTCTGAACTGCGCCAATGAAGGAATTGAACCAAACTTGGCACACAAAACTCCCACGACCACAGAAAATACTGGAACGGTTTAGTGGGCATTGACCTTGAGTTGTAGTTCACCTATATCCAGGGAGCACTGTGGACTCAAACAATGATGGATCTGGACTAAATTTGGCATGGATACTCAATATGCCCAAATGTGAACACTGGTGGAGTTTGGGGAACATAGACCTTGACATTTGCTAGCTGTAATTGCTGGGATTTATAGTTCACTTACAATCAAAGAGCATTATGAATCCCACCGATGATAGAATTGGGCCAAACTTCCCACATAAAACCCCCATGATCAACAGAAAATATTGCATATTCTGATGGTCTTTGGCAGCCCTTCTGTCACCCTTCTGTGACCCCTCCCTAGAGGTCCAAATCAGACATGGGTTCTTTCTCCCACACTGGACATTCCATAGATAGATAGATAGATAGATTCCACTTGCTTCATTGCCAACCAAACCTTTGAAGATGCCAACCACAGATGCAGGTGAAACGTCAGGAGAGAATGCTACTGGAACATGGCCATACAGCCCAAAAAACTCACAGCAACCCAGTGATTCCGGCCATGAAAGCCTTCAACAACACAATATGCATTTAAGTCACTATATATTCGTAGATAGCTTGACATGCAGTTTAATATATATTTATCCAGTGCAAGATTCCAGCACTATAATTCAGTCTATCAAACCCCAGTAAAAATAAAATTGCTTCATACATGCAATAATTCCCCACCTCCCCCATAATTTTCCTAAAATACAGTACATTAACTTATGAATTTGGGCACAATATAGGACTGGTACATGTCTGTTATGATTTCCCCACTTAGCTACACATTTGAGCATATCAGTTCATTCGCTTCAGCCATGTTTAAATCAACAGCAGTCTTGGATTTCTTCCTGACCAGTTTTTCCCCAGATGGACCCTTCTCTTTACTGTGAATGACCTGAATATATTGGTCATTGCAACTTGGCTGATCACTGCTGGAAAGAGAGTCCGACTCAGTTGGAGATGGTTCAGGTTTGTGTTTGGATTTCGGTTTCACGTAGTGTTCTGGATAGGACTGGCCCAGGTCAACGTTCTTCATGTGTATCTTCCTCTGGGGGTGTGGAGGCCGGTCAAACATAAGCCCAAAGTTGTCTTCCCAAGACCGGTAGTGCATTTTTGCCAAAGCCTTGTTGCTCAGAATTTGGTTGTTGGCGCACTCGCCAATGTAGACGTGAGGGGCTCTTCGGAGATCGGAGAGCGACCTTGGGCGATGGGACTTTTTGGCCATGCCTCTCCTGAACTCGTCCTCTTCCTCATCTTCACTGAAATGCATGGAGTACACCCGGTGAGGTGGCCGAACCATGTATCCCCGGAAGTTTCTCGGATACAGCTCCACTACGTTCCCTGATTCGTCTATTTTGTAATTCCTGGGCACCTGTGTATTTGAGCGGAGGATTTTCACAGGAGGCTCGTGCTCGTTGACGATGAAATACCTGGCCGTGTGAGCTCTGCGGCCTGCGAAAGAAGGGACTCTGGCAGCACTTCGGGCCTCTGGGTTCATTTGCCGGATGCTCTTCCTAAAAAGGGGTTCTGAATGGACATCTACGCGCTTCTTGTACTTCGAAGGGGTATAAGCCTTGGCTCTGCAGAGTTCGCTTGCACTCCCGTGCACGCTGGGGTATCTGCAGACAGAAAAGAGGAAGAGAGAGATGGAGAGAGAGAAAGGCAAACAACTTTAGCACAAACTGTTTCTCATTCAAAAGGTGTTCTTGAACTTAGGTTGCCAATAAACCAGCTTTCGGGAAATATCATGGGCCACTTTTATAGTGAAAGATTAATTCCATCTTTGTGTTAGCCTATTGCATAATCCAGTGTTCTTGTTCTGTAGTGTCTTAGAGAAATCTACTTTTCATGTCAGGAGTTATCTCTGCTGGGGAGATGCGGGGAATGCCGTGGATGTAGCGTACCTGGATTTCAGGAAGGCCTTCTTTGACAAGGTCCCCCATGACCTTCTGGCAAGAAAACTAGTCCAATGTGGGCGAGGCAAAACTATGTGGGCAAGGCCTTTTTAGTCTCTTCTGCTGTGTTTTTCAGTGTTTCTATTAGTGATGGTCACTCGTTGGCCTAATACATGTATTGTGTCCAAATTTGGTGTTAATTCGCCCAGTGGTTTTTGAGTTATGTCAATCCCACAAATGAACATTACATTTTTATAGATGACTAGTCGTCCCCTGCCCCGTGTTGCTGTGGCCCAGTCTGTGTATATGTGTTTTGTGTGTATATATGTGTGTATATATTTGTGTATATGTGTGTTTGTTTATATATATATATATATATCTCTTCTGCTGTGTTTTTATGAGTGATGGTCACTCGTTGGCTTGGTTTCAATTCGTCCAGTGGTTTTTGAGTTATGCTAATCCCAAAAACAAACATTAAATTTTTATTTATATAAATAATAATATTAATATTATTACTGACTAGCTTACTTTGAGAAATAAAGATTACAATGTAGGAACTAGAGAAGGATGGATCTGTCATGAACACTCGACTGTCTGCATTCATCTGTGCCATTTGTGATTCATAGACACATCATACAACCCTAACTTCATGCCCACATCCATTGCCTTTGAGGGCTCAAAAGGAAAGCCTTACCTCCTAGGAACTGGTTCTTTTCTGGGCTTGTCTCCAATGGGAAGAGAAGGCGTTGGAGGGGAAGGAGCGATAGGCATTGGAGCTACAGGTATGGTAGGATTTCCTAGGTTTGGGCTGACTGGCTTTAGTACTTCAGGTTGTTGCACAGACTGAGAGATGGTTGGTATTTGCTTGTTTTTGGGCGATTCATAATTCACCACGCTGCCATTTTTCCTGGGCGTCACAGACCGAGCCAAAGATTCCTGGCCATCGCTGTCCAGCTCTGGTCTTTTGTCACTGTCTTCTGTGGCTGGGATTCTCACTAAACAAATGAAACAAGTCAATTGTAACATCTGCCATCATCATATTGTTAAAAGACTGTATTCAGTTCACCTGAGAGTTGGCCATTTTCTGTATAGAGGAGAAGAACACCCTCATTGTGGGCTATCCACTAACCCTTCATCAAAGGCAGAAACAACGAAGCCTTTTCTAGTTCCACTGGGGGTGGAGCAACCCATTCACAAAGGCTCTATGAACTAGTCTTAACTGCTGAAACTTGGAGATCTATCTATTAGGGCTGGGCGGTTTCGTTCGTTAATTTCGTAATTCATTATTAATTCATAGAATCATAGAATCAAAGAGTTGGAAGAGACCTCATGGGCCATCCAGTCCAACCCCATTCTGCCAAGAAGCAGGAATATTGCATTCAAATCACCCCTGACAGATGGCCATCCAGCCTCTGTTTAAAAGCTTCAGAAGAAGGAGCCTTCACCACACTCCGGGGCAGAGAGTTCCACTGCTGAACGGCTCTCACAGTCAGGAAGTTCTTCCTAATGTTCAGATGGAATCTCCTCTCTTGTAGTTTGAAGCCATGTTCTACGCGTCCTAGTCTCCAGGGAAGCAGAAAACAAGTTTGCTCCCTCCTCCCTGTGGCTTCCTCTCACATATTTATACATGGCTATCATATCCCCTCTCAGCCTTCTCTTCTTCAGGCTAAACATGCCCAGCTCCTTAAGCCGCTCCTCATAGGGCTTGTTCTCCAGACCTTTTATCATTTTAGTCACTCTCCTCTGGACACATTCCAGCTTGTCAATATCTCTCTTGAATTGTGGTGCCCAGAACTGGACACAATATTCCAGATGTGGTCTAACCAAAACAGAATAGAGGGGTAGCATTACTTCCCTAGATCTAGACACTAGGCTCCTATTGATGCAGGCCAAAATCCCATTGGCTTTTTTTGCCGCCACATCACATTGTTGGCTCATGTTGACCTTCCTGTCCACGAGGACTCCAAGATCTTTTTCACACGTACTGCTCTTGAGCCAGGCATCCCCCATTCTGTATCTTTGCATTTGTCACTGTTGAACTTCATTTTGTTAGTTTTGGCCCACCTCTCTAATCTGTCAAGATCGTTTTGAATCCTGCTCCTGTCCTCTGGAGTATTGGCTATCCCTCCCAATTTGGTGTCGTCTGCAAACTTGATGATCCTGCCTTCTAACCCTTCATCTAAGTCATTAATAAAGATGTTGAACAGGACCGGGCCCAGGACGGAACCCTGCAGCACTCCGCTCGTCACTTCTTTCCAGGATGAAGAGGAAGCATTGGTGAGCACCCTCTGGGTTCGTATTTAAATTAGCTTGTGATCCGATATTGAGCCATGCAGGAATAGTGTGAGGAGTAAATTAGATTCGAAACAATTTTTAAAATTTATTTCGGTATTGTTTCGTTATTGTTTCGTTATTATTTCGAAATTGTTTCGTAATTATTTCGTAATTATTTTCGCATGTCTGGTGCAAGTTTTATAGTTGTTGTTTGTTTTATCACACCAACAGTCAACAACAGAGGGAGAGGGAAGCTTCAGAAGTTCCTCCTGTCCCATTTGGAGGTTTTTTTAGCATATTGCGCAATCGCGTCCGCCATTAACGAATCGATTCAAAATTAACGAAATTTCGTAAATAACGAAATTTTGAAATCTCAAAATTTCGGAAGTATTTAGAATTTGGAAACGCTAGCACTCCCTGGAAACGAATCGAGTTTAGAAACAAATTTTTCCGTGGTTACCCAGCCCTACTATCTATCTATCTATCTATCTATCTATCTATCTATCTATCTATCCATCCACCCACCCACCCATCCATCCATCCATCTATCATTTTTCAGAGGTAGAAGAGATAGAAACCCCCAGGATGGAAAAAGGAGAAAGGCCACGCAAGAAGCATGATGAAGCAAGATAGAAACATAGAAACACTGCTAATAGGAAAGTCCGACCTGTGCCTTGTAAGACCAAAGACCTCTCCAGCTAAGGGTCAGACTAATAAATTATTGTTATTATGTTGCCATAGGATTTTGTGGCTGGAATCACTGGGTTGCTGTGAATTTTTGGGGCTACAGCCATGTTCCAGAAGCATTCTCTCCTGACACACCTACACTCAAGCATAACTGCTCACCTGCTGCCACTTTTTTCTTATCTTCCGTTCTTTCCTGCAATACACATAAAAGATAATTAACTGCAAGGTAGTTTATTTAAAAGCCTTAGTTAAGAAAAGAATCACATATACATCAAATAAATAATTGGGTACAGAATTCATCTTGTTTTGTCAAAGGCTTTCATGGCCAGAATCACTAGATTGCTGTGAGTTTTCTGGGCTGTATGGCCATGTTCCAGAAGCATTCTCTCCTGATGTTTCACCAACATAATAATAATAATAATAATAATAATAATAATAATAATAATAATAATAATACCTTATTTGTACCCCACTACCATCTCCCCAAGGGACTCGGTGTGGCTTACATGAGGCCGAGCCCGAATACAACAATACAAGCAATAACAACAATACAAGCAAATTAAAATAAAACATAGACAATAAAATATACAACATTATCAATAAGACAACACACAATTAAACCTGTGGGAAGGCCAAATGTAAAATTAAAATTGGAAGTAATGCTGGGACATGGACGAGAAGGTGATACTGTTGTTTGTGGAAGGGCATACGAGCAGACCTAAAAAAATGGAGGACAAGGTGCTATGGAATCAATTATTCCAGGAAGGCACACTGGAACAACCACATCTTCAAACTCCTCCTAAAGACTGCTAAAGTTGGGGCCTGTCTGATGTCTTTAGGGAGTGAGTTCCAGAGTCGAGGGGCCACCATTGAAAAGGCCCTCTCTCTCGTCCCCACCAATTGCGCTTGCGATGCTGGTGGGATAGAGCAGGGCCACTCCGGATGATCGAAGGGATCATGTGGATTCGTATACAGAGATGTGGTCACGCAGGTAGGCGGGTCCCAAACCATTCAGGGCTTTGTAGGTAAGAACCTGCACCTTGAATTGGGTCCGGAAAATGAATGGCAGCCAGTGGAGCTCCTTGAAGAGGAGGGTTGACCATTCCCTGTAAGGTGCCCCAGTTAACAACCTGGCTGCTGCCCGTTGGATCATCTGAAATTTCCGGGCCGTTTTCAAGGGCAGCCCCACGTAGAGTGCTTTGCAGTAGTCCAGTCTAGAGGTGACTAAAGCGTGGTCCACGATCAAAGCATCTGCTGAGCAGTGGGAGAAAGTAGAGTTTTGGAAGGAAGGCGAGGGGGAAATAATAATAATAATAATAATAATAATAATAATAATAATACTTTATTTATACCCCGCCACCATCTCCCCAAAGAGACTTGGGGCAGCTTACATGAGGCCAAACCCAACAGTACAGCAAAGCAAACATACAACATAAATACATACAGTAAAATATAATGAAAATAAAAAATAAAATATAAAAAATATATAAATGAACACACCAAACAATATAAAATCACAATAATCACAGTGGGCAAGGCGAGTTGCAAAGATTAAAAGTTTGAAACACTGAGTAAGCAGGACAAGGCTGAGAGGAGATATGATAGCCATGTATAAATATGTGAGAGGAAGCCCCAGTGAGGAAGGAGCAAGCTTGTTTTCTGCTTCCCTGGAGACTAGGACGCAATGGGACAATGGCTTCAAACTACAAGAGAGGAGATTCCATCTGAACACGAGGAAGAACTTCCTGACTGTGAGAGCCGTTCAGCAGTGGAACTCTCTGCCCCAGAGTGTGGTGGAGGCTCCTTCTTTGGAAGCTTTTAAACAGAGGCTGGATGACCATCTGTTGGGGGTGCTTTGAATGCAATATTCCTGCTTCTTAGCAGAATGGGGTTGGACTGGATGGCCCATGAGGTCTCTTCCAACTCTTTGATTCTTTGATTCTATGATTCTAGGACGTGTAGTGTATCCAGAAGAGGGAAGGGATCTGGATAGTGAGGAAGACGAGGGGGAAAGGCTTTTGGGGGTGAGAAGGAGCAGACAAGAGAAGGTAATGCTTGGAGGGGGAGGAGGGAACCATGGAGCCCCTCAGTATGCTTTGTGGAGACCCAAGGGCTCTGCGGAGCACATTTTGAGAACCGCTGGGTTAAGTATTGAACAGGAGTTCTCCAGCACCACTGTCTGCGTTCTCCCTTCCAAAAAAGTCTGGAACCACTACATAACAATGTCCCATTCCAGGGAGAGGGATCATGGTTAATGGTATGAAAAACCACTGGGAGGTTCAGCAGAACCAAGAGTGCCATGTGCCTTAGAATCATAGAATCAAAGAGTTGGAAGAGACCTCATGGGCCATCCAGTCCAACCCCATTCTGCCAAGAAGCAGGAATATTGCATTCAAATCACCCCTGACAGATGGCCATCCAGCCTCTGTTTAAAAGCTTCCAAAAAAAAAGGAGCCTCCACCACACTCCAGGGCAGAGAGTTCCACTGCTGAACGGCTCACACAGTCACGAAGTTCTTCCTCGTGTCCAGATGGAATCTCCTCTCTTGTAGTTTGAAGCCATTGTTCCGCGTCCTAGTCTCCAAGGAAGCAGAAAACAGAATTGGACACAATATTCCAGGTGTGGGCTTTGGTCGGTGAACAAAGCCCATAGCCGGATCTGAAGTTAGCTTGAAATGAATCAAGATAATTTATCTCACCCAGAAAAACCCCAGTGTTGGGAGTTCAGAACCTTGCCCAATATGGAACGTCACTATGCCTGTTATTTAAATTCTCCTTAAAGATTAATTTTTCATACAAAAATAAGTAAGCCCACAAGAACTTTAATCAGTACTTACATTCTGGATTTGCATCCTTAGTTGATTGTTAGTGAATTTTAACGATCTTGCAATACTCTGCAGGTAATAAATTAACATGCTAGAAAGGAAGACAAAATTGTCCTTAAATCAGCTCTCTCCATGATGTGGGAATGAAAACTACAACCGTAAATTTCCATAATTTCTGCCCCAATGGAAGTAGGCATCTCCTACCTTTTTGTTATTATCACATGGACATAATGACAACTAAAAACTAAGACTAAGAACTAGACTCTGCTCAAGCAACAGAATGCCTACAATGTGTGCATCACAGCCAAAACTCCTGGACCACAAAATCATATATTTTTTCCTCTTAATTACTTATTAATCGCCCTCCATCCGAGAATGCTCTAGGCAATTTACATCTAAATTGTAAAAGATAAAATACATACATACAGAAATTAAAAATTAACAGAGATCGAATGTTCTAGTGAAAAGCCAGGTGTCTTAAGTGCGAGAGTAAAAGGCCCTCAGTCACGCATGGCTCTCATGTAGGGCGGCAAGGAATTCCACAAGGCAGGGGCAGAGATAGAGAAAGCCCACCTGCGCCTGGTCCTTTCCAAGGGCACTTCTCTAGGACCCGGTATATGGAGTAAGTCACGTTGGGCTGGTCATTGCGACCTCCGATGATGGGAGAAGGAGAGGCGGTCCCTAAGGTACGATGGACCCTGGCCATAAAGAGTTTTAAAGGTCAGAACTAGCATCTTATACAGGCCACGGTACTCAGTTGGAAGCCAATGTAAATGTTGCAGCACTAGTGTGATATGGCATTTCATGGGCGTTCTTGTGAGTAGCCTGGCTGCCGCGTTCTGAACAATACGAAGCTTTCGGGTCGTAGACATCGGAAGGCCCACATACAGGGCGTTGCAATAGTCCAGCCTAGACGTGACCGTGGATGACTGTTGCCAGAGCCTCGTCAGATAGGGAGGGTGCCAGTTGCCTCGCTTGTCGTAGATGGAAAAAGGCCTGTTTGCTGGCAGCAGTGACCTGAGCTTCCATTGTCATCTGGATAACTGGATGCAACGCATTTTCATGTATTAATTTGCATGAATTTAGGCGTCTGGATATTTATGCAATGCAGTGCCACCATCATACACTAAATGTCATATTTCCTAACTTTTCTAACTTTCTTAAGAAACAACAACAATAACAACAATAATACTGTGGGACTTTCGAATCCAGACTGACAAAGTTTTGGAACACAATACACCAGACATCACGATTGTGGAAAAGAAAAAAGTTTGGATTATTATTGATGTCACCATACAGTTGCATTGAAGAAAAACAACAGGAAAAACTCGGCCATTAGCAAGACCTCAAAATCGAACTGCAAAGGCTCTGGCATAAACCAGTACAGGTGGTCCCAGGGGTCATCAGCACACTGGGTGCCATCCCAAAAGATCTCAGCTGGCATTTGGAAACGATAAATATTGACAAAATCATGATCTGTCAACTGCAAAAGGTCACCTTACTTGGATCTGTGAGCATCATTCGAAAATACAACACACAGTCCTAGATGCTTGGGAAGTGTTCAACTTGTGATTTTGTGATACGGAATCCAGCATATAGATCTCATTTGCTGTGAAATACTGTGTTTTTGTGTCAGTAAAATAATAATAATAATAATAATAATAATAATAATAATAATAATAATAATAAAAAAATGTCAGATAGCAGGTTAATGGACCGGGCCTCCTGCCTTCTTCCTAATATAGGCTTGCCATCCAGAGGGGCCCCATGGAAACAATATCAAGCAGCCCAAGTGATTCCCACCTCCAGCATGAAAGCATTTTGCCATACAGTTCTCAACAAATACCCCAGACATATTGTGATATTAATAAATTGTTTGTAGACTTACAAGAGAAGCAATAAAGCTGGGAGGACCACCACTGGACTGCTCACATAAGTCATCACTTTGTTGAACCAGACAGGGAAGTCGGCTTTGATGGTGTCCGACACAATGTCATATATTTTTTCTTGCCCACTAGTGAAAAGCAATCAATAGTTCTCAAGAAACTTTACAGCATGTTAAACATTCAAAGCAAGAAGTAATTGTAGCATTTATTTGTTTGTTTGTTTGTTTGTTTGTTTATTTACTGCATTTTTATACCACTTTTCTCACCCCTAGGGGACTCAAAGCGGTGTACAGTATAATAATTCAATGCCTCACATACTAATAAAAACAATACATTACATATCAAAAACAATAACATATAACTGTAAATTAAAATAATTAAAACTGTCAGACATGATTGTTTGCCAGTTTGTGTAGTTTTCAATTACCGATCCTGTAGACAGTGCAATTATAACGAAAGTTTGTGATGAGGACCAGAGCCACCAAGGCTGCCTAAAACAATTAGTAAGAAGTTGATGGAAAACCCATCAGTTTAGCTAATCCAGGTAAGTAGTCCTCACACATCAACAGATGTTACAGGTGCCAGGCAGCAAGGAGGCAAGGCAGCGGGGGCCATGGGGACTCCCTGCACAATTGAAGTTGGTGTAAGTTTTGTGGAAACGTTTGGAATACTCTCTTAGTTTTTTCCTTCCTTAAACATTATCAGAAAAGACTTTGATGAAGCACAAGTTTTCCCAAGTTTTCTCTGATCTTGGAAATTAAACAGGGTCTGCTCTGGTTAGTACTTGTTGGGGGAGACATTTTAATATGTATGTGTTGGGGCTCAGAAGCACAATGATTGGGATGCTGGGGATTCTGATTCAGATGACGAGATTTTCACTGAATCTGTGTCTGTTCCTCAGGTTGAACCACAAACAAAAATGCAGGCCACAGATCACAGAGACTGGCCAGGGCTGACAGCCACATAAGAGATATTTCTCTTGAGAATTGTTTTGTTGGACCTTCTAATTCTTCAGAAGATGGGGAGTTGTCCCATGATATGAGATTAGACCTTAGCGCTGAGAGAGCTAAGGAAAGGTTAATGAGAAGGTCAGAAAGAATTCCCAAGAAACAATCCTTGAAACACAGGTGCAAAAAAGATAATCTCATGTTTGTTGGGTCAGGTTTGAGCTTAAAATAGGTGCTCTTTCCCTGGGCTCTTCAGAGCAGACAACTTCATTTAAATAATCAAGTTCATCATCAGCTCTCAAGTTTGCCTATGTGTCTGAATGGATTTTTGCATTGCTTAAGTTCCTATTTTCATGTTATTGACTATGCTTTTGCCTCCTTGGGTTTTCATGGACATTGTTATTTTGGTTTTCATATACCTTGCTCTTGGATTTTCTGTATCTTGATATCTTGGATTTCATGGACATTGCCATTTAGGTCTATTGATGTTTATATTTTGAACTATTGCTATTCCTCAGCACCTTTTCTACTACTTTTTGGGAAGTATCCTTTCCCCCTTTTCTACTTACCTTTTATAAATAAACTTATGTAGTTAGCAACTACTGGACTTTGTTTGATGCTGGGTGAAAAGATGTTCCTGACCTAGTGTGTGACACTATGAACTAGTGGTATCATGTGTACTGCAACATGCAGATTACCTGGAAGTTAACACACAAATACCAAAGAAAACATAATGCCATCAACTCACCTGAATGGCCCGCAGTGAAATGATGGCCTATAACGGGCAATGGCAAATATGGTGGGAAGCATGCACAGAAACAGCATGAAAAGCAGCATCGCCAAGTAGAAGTTATTGGATCTACAAGGGAAGGGATAATCATTAGATCTCTTGTCCCCCTTCTGTCATCAAGCTAAAACATTTTATACTCTCAAACCTTTGGAAACTGGGGAGGGCATTTAATGTGGTTCAGTGCTGTATGAAGGTTTGTATGATATTTTAATGTATAATGTTTGAATTTATTGTTTAATTGATTGGGATAGATAGATAGATAGTTATAGTTATCATAAGGGGCTGCAGTAGCACAGCAGGTTAAACTGCTAAGCTGCAGAACTTTCTGACCAGAAGGTCAGCAATTCAAATCTGTAGGGCAGGCTGAGCTCCCATTGTTAGCTCCAGCTTCTACCAACCTAGCAATTCAAAAACATGCAAATGTGAGTAGATCAATAGGTACCGCTTCCGCAGGAAAATAACAGCACTCCATGCAGTCATGCTGGCCACATGACCTAGGAGGGGTCAATGGACAAAGCCGGCTCTTCATTTTAGAAATTGAGATGAGCACTACCCCCCAGAGTCAGACTCAACTAGACTTAATGTCAAAGGGAAACTTTTACCCTATAGATATATACATACACACATATACATGTTCATACACACATGCGCGTGGATGCATGCTTTTGGATAGATTTAACCTGTATTGTTTTTGCATATGTTGTTAGTGGCCATTACTATCTATCTATCTCAATATGATGGTATAATACCAAAATAATAAGAATTGTAGAAGCATTTTCATAACTAAACATTCTAACATCTACACATACTTTACAGTATTAAAACAGGATGGTAACATTTAAAATATTTTAGGATATAATATAATAATATATTACAACATAGTAATTTATCATTGAGAGCCTATTGCATGGGAGGAAGAAATGCTTAAGTGGTTCAAAGATGAAATTTGAACACCTACAAATTTTGGTTTCAGTCACCTTTCCTCTCCATAAATAATAATAATAATAATAATAATAATAATAATAATAATAATAATAAATTTATTTATAACCTGCCCTTTCTGCCCGAGGGGGACATTTTTTTAAAACATTTTTAAAAAGACATTTATTTAATGTATTTTATTTACAAATATATGTGAGAATAATTACAGTGACCAGTTACACTTTTTTCCTTCCTTGGTCATACAGTTCAGCATATCAACCATAGGTAAAGGTAAAGGTTTTTGCCTGACATTAGGTCCAATCATGTCCAACTCTGGGTTTTGGTGCTCATCTCCATTTCTAAACTGAAGAGCTGACTGGCACAACCTGGGGATCACAACCAGACACAGTGAAGACATCTGCCCTTGCGCTATGCTACTCTGCTGCTGAGTATGCATGCCCAGTGTGGAACACATCTCTCCACACTAAAACAGTGGATGTGGCTCTTAATGAGACATGTCGCATTATCACGGGGTGTCTGTGCCTTACACCACTGGAGAAACTACACTGCTTAGCTGGTATTGCACCACCTGACATCGGCCGGGAAGTAGCAGCCAACAGTGAAAGGACCAAGGTAGTGACATCTCCAGCTCATCCCTTGTTTGGGCATCAGCAACTTAAATCTAGAAATAGTTTTCTAAGATCTACAGAGACACTCGCTGGAACTCCTCAGCAAGCGAGAGTCCAAAAGTGGCAGGCTCAAACCCAAAGTCTCAAACAATGGCTGATACCAAAGGAGAGACTCCCCCCTTGGCACAGAGAAGACTGGGTGACTTGGAAGGCGCTGGCACCATGAGATGCAGAGCCAACCTTAAGAATTGGGGCCATAAAGTGGAATCCACGACATGCGAGTGTGGAGAAGAGCAAAGCACAGACCACCTGCTACAATGCAACCTGAGCCCTGACACATGCACATTGGAAGACCTCCTTGCAGCAACACCAGAGGCACTCCAAGTGGCCAGATACTGGTCAAAGGACATTTAATCAACTACCAAACTTGCAAATTTGGTGTTTTGTCTGTCTGTTTGTTTTGTTCTGTTAGAAATGTAATGCAATTGATAAATAAGCTGAAGAGCCGGCATTGTCCATAGACACCTCCAAGGTCATGTGACTGGCATGACTGCATTGAGCGCCATTTCCTTCCTGCCGGAGCGATACTTATTAATCTACTCACATTTGCATGTTTTCAAAGTGCTAGGTTGGCAGAAGCTAAGGCTAACAGCAGGATTCCAACCTGTGAACTTTTGATCAGTGGTTTAACCCACTGTGGCACCGGGGGGGGGGGGGGGGGGGGGGGGGGGTCCTATATCAACCATATCATGTCACTATCTACTAACCTTGAAGCTCTAAAGACTTGCTGGTGAGGTACGTTGCATGTTAACACTGCCCAGCTCCGAAGATACATAAGGCCAATCAGCTTGAGAACATTGAATGCTGGGAGGCAAGGAGAAAAGAACGCTCCCATCCTGAAAAAGAAGACAGCCACAGGAACTTAATTTTCACCCCTCCTAAGTCCCCATCCTTTTCCCTTTGCGTGCTGTATCTTATCCAGACCATAATGCCACAGCAAACAGTGAGTTTAAGAATTTGTTAGCCACTCCAGGAACATTTGTGGCTAAACGATCTTACCAAATCATCCCTTGATTGTAGACCAAATGCAAAACGTTTTCGGCTATTTTGAATTCTCCATATTCCGGCTGTAAAACACACAAAATGCAGGGTTTGGTCATTAGTCAGAGCAAATATTTGTCAGTGGATTCATCTGTGTTTGGCATAGGTGGGGAGAGCATTATATTGTGGTTCATAAGCACTTTCTACCTTCTATATATATTTTTTGAAAGTTGGAGGAAGCAAAACTAATGGTCTCATCTCTAGGCCAATTCATGTGTTAATTCAATACATATATCTACTTAATAGTAAAGGTAAAGGTTTTCCTCTGACATTAAGTCTAGTAGTCAAGTCTGACTCTTTGGGGTGGTGCTCATCTTGATTTCTAAGCCAAAGAGCCAGCATTGTCCGTAGACATCTTCTAGGTCATGTGGCCTGCATGACTGCATGTAGTGCCATTACCTTCCCACCAGAATGGTACCTATGGATCTATTTATTATTTATTTATTTACTACACTTGTATGCCGCCTTTCTCAGCCTATTGGCGACTCAAGGCAGTTTACAACAAGTCAGTACACATAATAGCAAAATTGACTAATATTTGCATTTTTTCGAACTGCTAGGTAGGCAGAAGCTGAGGCTGACAATGAGAGCTCACCTCATCCTGCAGATCTGAACCACTGATGACCTGATCAGCAAGTTCTGCAGCTTAGCAGTTTAACCCACCACGGCCCCATCTACTTAATAGGGCTGGTTTGATTAAATTCCCTATTTATTTTCTTTATATTTCACCTTCCTTCCAAAGAGAATGGGTCAGGATTTTGATCGACTGACTGCTATTTCAATAAAAGTTCACTTGGTCTTTCCAAAGCCCTTTATTGTTAACAGACATCAGAAATCTACCAACGTATAACATTGCTATTGTCAGAATAACAAAACCCTTTTCGTATTAAGGTTTCTGATTCAGTTGCGCTTACAATTCATGATTCCCACCCAATGCCCTTTTGTACCTTTGTAGGATAAGGTTCAACTTCCCTAGAGCAATACATTTTTACTTTTTCCTTGTAGATATATCCGTTTGTAGATATATCCATTTCTCCCGTTGATCTTTATGGCATGACTTCAAAAGTAGTCATGACATGAACAGTTTATCTCATTTTACTTTTCTATCCAATCTACAAAACCCAGATTTGGCTTTAATTTGGGGTGCCTAGTCATATCTAATGTGTCATTTGCCACACATTTAACAAAACCCAAAACAAAGGGGCCGGATGCATGTGTGTATACAGTACATGTATATGTTCGTATGGTCTGGGCTTTAGCACAGCAGGTTAACCTCCAGCTGCAGTAAATCTTGCCAATCGAAAGGTTGAAGTTCAAAACCTGGGTCAGGGTGAGCTCCTTGACTTTAGCCCAGCTTGTTGGGGTTCAGCCTGTGTGTGAACCTGTACCTGACTCTCTGATTGTATTTCCTGATGTCAATGATTCTGAGGTCAATGTAGAAGATGACGGTTTGTGTAGTGAAAATCCTGCTGCTTTGGAAAGCAAAAGTCCAAATTCCCATGAGAATGATTCAGAGCCAAGCCGTGAACTTTCACTCCCTTTTAGCTCTCCAGATAATCTGACACCTTGTCCCTCTAACGAGGATAGATGGGGGCAGATTTGGCAAAGCAGAGGCGAAGCGCAGAGTTTATGGAGGTCAGTTAGATTAAGAGAAATGCAAACACAGCCTTCAGGCACGTCATGAAATAGATTTCTATGCTTTAAAAACGCTTGGCCTGGATGCCCATTCAGTCCAGGCATAGTTTCAGATTCATGTGCAGACTCTTGCAGTTCTCCTGCTTCCAGTGGCTTTTTCCAAGGAATTTTTCTAGAGCTTCAAGGACAGTTAGTGGATTGCTAACAGGTTCCAGGATTTAGCAGTGTTACTGTGGGTTTTTGATCTTGTTCATGGACATTTCTTGTTGCTGAGTTTTACTGTGGCTTTTTACCTTGCATATTTTTCTCTATTTTTGTACTCATCTTTCATCAATAAAAAGAATTGTTTTTCCTGAAGTCAAGTGTGATGGATTGTTGTCTTAGGGTCCAGTTTCCTGCTCTGGGTTGCAACATTCGGGGTGAAAAGGGCAGAATATAAATGCTATAAATAAATAAATAAATCACGAAATAATTTGGATCATACTTTATCATCATGGAACGGAAGGCAACCTGACCTTCTCTCCTTCCCTTTTGCTTCCCTTCTGTTAGCTTCTGTCTACCTAGAACTTCGAAAATGGCAATGTGAGTAGATAAATAGATACCACTTTAAAGTGGGGTGGTATTTAAGAGACCCATAAGGAAATGCCAGAAAAATGCCAGCAATTCGAGTCCACTGTCTACCCTGGGATGGTAACAATAGCACTGTCTATCAGTTGCTTTCAGTATTATTATTTTATTTATTTATTTACTATATTTGTATACTGCCCTTCTCAGCCCTCAGGCGACTCAGGGCGGTTTTGCAGAGGCAATGATTCGATGCCCAAGAACATCATAAAACATTTAAAACATTAATATATAGTATAAAACCAAACAAAAGTAATAAAAACATAGGATATTTGCATCTCCTATTTAAAAACATTATCCATCTCGTTGTCCAGTCGTTCCAAGTTCCTATGCCTTTTACACTGCATTTTCAAACACGTGCTCGAACAGCCAGGTCTTTTCCAGAATATTAAGAGGGAGGAGGCCAATCTAATGTCTCTAGGAAGGGTGTTCCATAGCCAAGGGGCCACCACAGAGAAGGCCCTGTCTCTCATACCCGTCAAACGTACTTATGACGCCGGCAGGATCGAGAGCAGGGCCTCCCCGGATGATCTCAAAGTCCTAGCAGGTTCATAAGGGGGGATGCATTTGGACAGGAAAGTTGGGCCAGAAACATTTATCTTTGCCTTACTAATACATATGCCTACATACACAGAGAGAGGTATATAAAATGTACTCACAAACTTGCTTTCCAAATCCCAGCACCAATAATCGCTCAAGTATCGAACAAATAGCCCACGGAAGAAGTCAATCAACAGGATACTTGCCACTGTGAACAGCATATCAATGATGGACAGTTTCAACATTTCCTGAAAGAAGTAAAGAAATAGCTTGCAAAAGTTAAAATAACTAAGGATGTAACAAACTATAATAAAATCACAGAAAATGAAAATAAAAGCATAGTGAATCAGCCACAAACAATCTGGTAGACAGAATTCAGTAGAACGAGGCACATTTAAACAAGAAAGGGTGACTTCTCTATTTATTTATTTACGACATGTATATGCCGCCCTTCTCACCCGAAAGGGGACTCAGAGTGGCTTACAAGATCTATATACATACAATATATTAAATTATTAGCATAGTACAATATCAGTATTATATATTACTATATTGTACTACATTTAGCATTTTAGCATGCAGCATTTTCCCGAATGAAGCAGAGAGTGTTTGAGGACCGGGACATCCGTAAGGAGACCAAGGTGCTTGTCTATAAAGCTATTCCCCTCCCAACCATGCTATACGCCTACGAAACGTGGACTGTCTACAGATGTCACATGCAACTCCTGGAACGATTCCATCAGCACTGCCTCTGGAAAATTCTGCAAATCTCTTGGGAAGACAAGCAGACAAATGTCAGTGTGCTGGAAGAAGCAAAGACCGCCAGCATTGAAGCATTGTCCGGATGCCTGACCACCGTCTCCCAAAGCAGTTTCTCTACTCTGAACTTAAGAACGGAAAACGGAATGTTGGTGGACAGGAAAAGAGATTTAAAGATGGCCTCAAAGCCAACCTTAAAATCTCTGGCATAGACACTGAGAACTGGAAAGCCCTGGCCCTTGAGCGCTCCAGCTGGAGGTCAGCTGAGACCAGCAGTGCTGCAGAATTTGAGTAGGCACGAGTGGAGGGTGAAAGAGAGAAACGTGCCAGGAGGAAGGCACGTCAAGCCAACCCCGACCGAGACCGCCTTCCACCTGGAAACTGATGCCTTCACTGTGGGAGAAGATTCGGGTCAAGAATAGGGCTCCACAGCCACCTACGAATCCACAAGGAAACCCATCATGGAATACCATCTTACTCGTCCAACGAGGGATCGCCTAAGTAAGTAAGTAGTATTGTACTACACCATTATATTGTAATATTACATATTTACAACATTTAAAAAGGAATTCTCCATAATTTTCCATGACTAATGAAAAGTCCTTACCTCTTGACTGCTGATAAAACACCTATCTAGCCACATATAAGGGCTGAACTTACTTGGCCAACATATGTCTCCCAACATTGACTCTGGTGACTTTGGGTGCTGGATTCAGGAGGCGCTGTGTTATTTATCATGTTTATATTCCCTGGAACAGCATTTCTAATTCTATGAGTGTGGTTCACAACAAGAAGGAAAGTGCTGTTCGTCAGATGTACATTGGGAAGAGTTGTAGAAAAGTTGTGTCCCAAAACTGTTTGTGTAGCTAAGAAGTTGGGGGCTTCCAACGTGTTGTTTCCATTGTTGTGAACTTCTGTTTCCTGAAATCATGGATTTAAATTGTTATAAGGTAGTCCTTAATACTCTGTTTCTAAATTCTGAATGTAGCAGCTATGCTGAGCAAAGACAATACAATGTTTTACCTGAATCTTAAATACTTGTTACATTTTAAATAAATCTAATAAATACAAGGGTTGAATGAAAAGTAATGCCTCCACCTTCGTTACTTGGGTTTGGATGGGAGTATTTTAATAAATCAATCGCAGAAATAATCCTTAGAATGTGCTCTTTAACTACCACTATTCACTTTTCCACATGATCACCAGAAAATTGGATATATTTCTGCCAAAGATGAACAAGTTTTCTGAAGCCGTGACGGAAGTAGTCGACACTCTCTTTCCACAACCAGCGTCTCACAGTTCTCTCAACGTCTTCATCAGAAGCATAATGATGTCCCCGCAGATCTTCTTTCATTATCGGGAACAGATGGAAGTCAGACAGTGCTAAATCTGAACAGTATGTAGGATGTTGTACAGTGGTGAGATCCAGTCTCTGGAGTTTTAAGTCTGTGCACTTTCATTTCAGGCATCAGCATCCTGGGTAGCCATTGTGCACAGATCTTCTGATAGCCAAGCAAAGCAATAATGTGACCCACGTTCTTGTGAAATGCCGATTATGCGTGAAATTTCTCTCTGAGTCTTAGCAGTAACAACAATGGTACTGAATCAATCTGTCAATCTTTTGCCTGTGAAACTCGGTGGTTGCTGTCACAGGACGTCCAACTCTTTGTTTGTTATGGAAGACAGATGTTCCCACCTCAACATCTTTAAACTTACTTGCCCAACGATGCACAGTACTCACAACAACACAATCACCATAGACAGCTTGCATTCTCTGAGGAATTACCTTTGGGGTGACACCTTCTGCTGTCAAGAATTCATTGACTGCACGTTGCTTAAGTTGCATTGACTGACTGTCTGCGTAGGGTTCCATACTTCGCACTTTAACAACACAACTATTCAATGCTAAGGCTTCCTGCCACAATGGAACTGTAGAGGAGAATCTACTGAACAAGCCAGTACCTGCTGCATACCAGTACTGCCATCTGTTGAGGGGTTACGAAGGTGGAGGCATTACTTTTCATTCAACCCTCGTATAGCCCTGATTTTCACATGTACAAAGCTATTTGCATAGTTTCCCTTGCAATCCTTACAACTGTTTGAAGAAGTGTAAGATAAGACAAAGTATATTTCATATACAGGGTTGGGTTTAGTGCATACTAGCAGAAAACACTTTGAAAGCACGGGACTGCAAAACATATAGTTATAATTATAGAAAAAAAATCAGCAAACCGAATATCATGACCTGTAAACATCTTAAACAGGCGTCAATAGAAGGTATACACATAACATATAATATTACATTGCAGCACACCAAAATAAACAATCACTTCTGTCTGTACGGCTAAGTCTGGACTAGGAATACTCATACCTTACTAAGTGGTCCAAGAATATAGAGCAACAAGAAGTAAAGCAATTTTCAGGAGTCTCATGCAAGAAACAATATCTATCTATCTATCTATCCATCCATCCATCCATCCATCCATCCATCCATCCATCCATCCATCCATCCATCCATCTATCTATCTATCTATCTATCTATCTAGCCAACCATCATAGCTACCCAAAATCTGGCAGATTATACCCATATCTCTGAACCTGTTGCTTAGTGTATGAGTGGTATGAGAAATGTGAGAAACCAAGGAGGTCTGTGAACAGCATGAGGCTTTTGTAGGGGAGAGGAAACATCTCTATTCCCCACTCCTCACTAATACATCTGAACTGTTATGAGGATGAAATCATGTGCTTGGTGCACCAAGATGGCCAAGATTTGCAACTCACTGCAATGCTCATAAGGTCAACTTTATCCAGAAGGGCAATGATTAAGCTGTAAAGATTTCCCAGATACAGGACAAGAACTCTGTAGGAAGATATGAAAAACAAGACATTATGATCAGTAAATACTGGTGTTCTCCCTTGTGCCCACGTTTGGCTTCTTCGCCCATTGCAATACATCAATGTTTACAATTCAACAATACGGCAGTGAAGAAAACAGACCACCAAAACTAGGTTAAAACCTAGATATTTTCATTAACAAATGAAATAAAGGTATCCAGACTTCAATAGATGTTTCTGTTTCATTTTCTCCTTTTATTATGATGATGTTTCATATACTGGCTAGCATCTTGCCAGCATAATCCCAGATAGAAACTTCAGGGTTGCCAAGTGTCCCTTACTATAAGAGATGTGCTTTATTTGAAAGCTGAAAAAAGATGCTCCCAGATCCAGAATTTTGCTTCATAAAGAAAGACATTTAGGTTATGAATGTGGGCAACATGTAAACTGAAATCACTTGGTGGTGCAGTGGGTTAAACCCTTGTGCCGGCAGGACTGAAGACCAACAGGTCGTAAATTTGGATCCAGGGAGAGTGTGGATGAGCTCCCTCTGTCAGCTCTAGCTTCCCATGAGGGGACATGAGAGAAGCCTCGCACAAGGATGGTAAAACATCAAAAACATCCGGGCATCCACTGGGCAATGTCCTTGCAGATGGCCAATTCTCTCACTCCAGAAGCGACTTGCAGTTTCTCAAATCACTTCTGACACACACAAAAACTTTATTTCAGTAAACCTAGAACCTCAATTAGTAGCGAATGCCAGATGTATCTTCTGTGTCCTTCCTGGGCACACAGAAGACTGGGTGACTTGGAAGGCACTGAACAGACCGTGCTCTGACATCATGAGATCCAGAGCCAATCTTCAGAAATGGGGCTACAAAGAGGAATCCACAACATGAGAGTGCGGAGAAGAGCAAACCACAGACCACTTACTACAATGCAGCCTGAGCCCTGCCACATGGGCAATGGAGGCACTAGAGGCACCCCAAATGGCCAGCTTCTAGCCAAATTAAATTTAGTATAATGCCAAGCTTTCATCATTTGTGGTCTTTCTATACATTATAACTGTATTCTCAATTTATTTATGACACTATAAATAAATAAAAATATATACTTGATTAAATGCAAACTTTTTACTAATTATTTCCTGATTGTTAACCCCAAATGCCATGAGTTTTGACTGCTCCTTATTTCCATATTGAAAACCTGGCAGCATCCATTAGAACAGATCCATGTAAACCAGTGGTTCCCAACCCTTTTTTGACTAGGGACCACTTGATCAGGGGCCACTTTGCCCAGGGACCTCTCTCCAACATTAGAACCAAAAGAGTTATTTGCTTGAGTTGAGTTTTTGCTCAACTTTAGATTCACTTTGGTTATTTGGGGTGCTGATTCAGAAAATTGCATTGGATAGACCACATCAGCTCTAGTTTCGGATACAGAACATATGGCATCTAGTAGTCACCATTTGTTTGCCCACAGAATACCATATTTAATAAGCGTCGGCACTATAAGAGGGTTTCACGAGAGCAATAACTTTCATTGCAATGGTGTAGTAATGGTAAGGCCACGGACCATATTTTAGTTCTTGCGAACCACTGGTGGTCTACAGACCACAGGTTGGGAACCACTGTTTAAAATGAATTGAGAATGGTGAGTCAACACGTAGATAACTCCAGTGTGTCACTGCTAGAAACATTGAGATTAATTTTTGATTTCTGTTTATATTGAATCATATAGAGTTGCAAAAGACCACATGGGCCATCCAGTTCAATTTCCTACTGTGCAGGAAAAGCACCATCAAAACATCCCCAACAGATTGCTATTCAGCCTCTGTTTAAAAGCCTCCAAGGAAGGAGCCTCCACTGAACCCCAAGGCAGAGAGTTTCACTGCTGAACAGCTCTCCTTATGGGCAGGAAGTCTTTCCAAATAGCCTTTCCTGTCATTTGAACCCATTGATCTGAGTCCTAGTTTCCAGAGGAGCAGAAAACAATCCTTCTCCCCCTTCCTTATGGCAGCCTTTCACATATTTAAACATAGTTATCATCTCCTCTCAACCTTCTCTTCTGCAGGCTAAACAGACCCATGTTAAAAGTATAAGATGGGCTGATTCAATCATTATTTTGTTGTTGTTGGAGCAGGCACTTTTTATCAGATTCTGCTGCCACTGTCATTGTCTGCATGAGACACCTCCTGTGCCTTCTTTCCACTCTAGATGTCAGCAGAGCCCAGCCTTGCTATGCCCACTGTTCACATACCTGGCAAGCTGAAACCGTAAAGTGGTTCGCGGGTGGTACATCTCCAACGCAGCTATGAGTTCAAAGGCAGACGGGGCAAGCATTGTGATGAGCGAGACAACAACACTCACCTAGAAAGAAGTGCACACATTGGTTTCAGTACAGCTGCTGAAGGAACAGAGGGGAGAATCATCTAACACAGGCATGGGCAAACTTGGACCCTCTAGGTCAGGGGTAGGGAACCTTTGGCCCTCCAGCTGTGGTGGACTTCAACTCCCACAATTCCTTGAGGCTCGGCATTCGCCCCAAAGGCTTACCTTGGCCCAATGCCGAGCCTCAAGGAATTGTGGGAGTTGAAGTCCACCACAGCTGGAGGGCCAAAGGTTCCCTACCCCTGCTCTAGGTGTTTGGGACTTCAACTCCCACAATCCCTAACAGCCTCAGGCCCTTCCCCTTTCCTTCTCAGTCACATAATAATAATAATAATAATAATAATAATAATAATCTTTATTAAGCTTGGGAACTACTGCTCTAAAGAACACCAGAAGCGCTTTCATACTAGACAGTTATTTCTTTTATTGATCGACTCTGAATGTTGCCTAGATCTGCACTGTTCTGACTGCTCATAAATGAGATGGATTAGATTTAGACTCCTTTGTATTTCTAGGGGGACCAAACAGGGCTTTATTTGTTTGTGCTGCTTGTTAGACTCTCTTGCCAATGTGCTGCAAAAGATTTTACCAGGATACTACTGGTCAAAAATGTTCATTAAATCTCTTGGCCAATCACCAGCCAGGGTTTTCAGTGGTGGTCCCCCATAACAGAAACCACACAAGTACTTAAGCAACATATTCAACATTGTGAATGTGTTGTCAAAGGCTTTAATGGCCAGAATCACTGGGTTGCTGTGCAGCCATGTTCCAGAAGCATTCTCTCATGACGTTTTGCCCACATCTATGGTAGGTATCATCAGAAGTTGTGAGGTCTATTGGAAACTAGGCAAGTGAGTTTTATATAATAATGGAATAATGTGGAATAATGTGGAATAATGTACAGGGTGGGAGAAAGAACTCTTGTCTGTTCGAGACAAGTGTGAATGTTGTAATTGGCCACCTTGATTAGCACTGAATGGCCTTGCAGCTTCAAAGCTCCCTGCCGGGAGGAAGCCTTTGTTGGGAGGTGTTAACTGGCCCTGATTGTTTCCTGTCTGGAATTCCCCTGTGTTTTTTTTTTAGTGTTCCTCTTTATTTACTGTCCTGATTTTAGAGGGTTTTAAAAAAAATATTGGTAGCCAGATTTTGTTCATTTTCATGGTTTCCTCCTTTCTGTTGAAATTGTCCACATGCTTCTTGTGGATTTCAATGGCTTCTCTGTGAAGTCTGACATGGTGGTTGTGAGAGTGGTCCAGCATTTCTGTGTTCTCAAATGATATGCAGTGCCCAGGTTGGATTATCAAGTGCTCTGCTATGGCTGACTTCTCTGGTTGAAGTAGTCTGCAGTGCCTTTCATTTTCCTGGATTCGTGTCTGGGCAATGCTGCTGCATTTGGTGGTCCCTATGGAGACTTGTCCACAGCTGCATGGTACACAATGGTAGACTCCTGCAGAGGTGAGAGGATCCCTCTTGTCCTTTGCTGAATGTAGCATTTGTTGGTTTTTCTTGGTGGGTCTGTTGATAGACTGTAGGTTGTGTTTCTTCATCAGCTTCCCTATGCGGTCAGTGTTTCCCTTTATTTGCTGTATCAGGACAGCAAATAAAGAACAACACTAAAAAAAACAGGGGAATTCCAGACAGGAAACAATCAGGGCCAGCTAACATCTCCCAACAAAGGATTCCCCCAGGCAGGAAGCAGCCGGGCTATGAAGCTGCAAGGCTAGTCAATGCTAATCAAGGTAGCCAACTGCAACATTCACACTTGCCTCCAACAGACAAGTGTTATTTCTCCCACCCTGGACATTATTCCCCAGATATACAAACCTCACTTGCCTAGTTTCCAACAGACCTCACAACCTCTGAGGATGTCTGCCATAGATGTGGGTGAAATATCTGGAGAGAATGCTTCTGGGGCATGGCCGTACAGCCTGGAAAACTCACAGCAACCCAGAAATTAGAACAGCCCCTTCACTCCTCTCCTTCAAGAAACAACCATAGATGTGGGCGAAACGTCAGGAGAGAATGCTTCTGGAACATGGCCATACAACTCCGAAAACTTACAGCAACCCAAACATGGTGAAGTCACTGGACTGAATGATAAGGTGAAATAAAAGCATGCCAATCAGAGATAGGTCTGTTCTATGGAGTTACATTACAAAAGCACATAAAGGAAAATTAAAACGTGGACCAAAAGAGATTGTGACTTCTGCTGCATACCTGCCCAAAGAATGTGCGTGCAGTGCATTTGGGCAGCCATATGCTTTGCTACAGTTTCCTTCTGCAAGTGAGTGAAAATATTTTCCTATATGTTAAAAGTAACACAACAGGAATAGCAAGTGTCATTTGTCAGCAACAAGTAGCCAATTTAATTGCTTTCTGAACTGTATCAACAGTAACAAGTAATGGTCATTATTTCTTACTGTTTCTAGTTAAAAGATAATGTAATGCATGCAAGGAATCTTACATTTCTTGTATCGAAAGGTCTACTGGATTGTTTGCTAGATCTCATCTGGTGTTATTATGTTACTCTATTATTCTCTCAATCAAAAATAGTGATTTTTTTTGGGAAATACTTCAAGATGGCAAAACTTGGCCAAACTTAAGAAGATGATACTGGGGGCCGTGGTAGCGCAACAGGTTGAACTGTTGAATCTGCTGACCTAAAGGTTGTCAGTTCAAAGCCTCAGGTCAAAGGGAACTCCCAGTTAGCCCTAGCTCCTGCCAATCTAGCAGTTCGAAAACATGCAAATGTGATTAGATAAATAGGTACTGCTTTGGCAGGAAGGTAATAAAGGCATCCATGCAGCCATGCCAGCAACACAACCAGAAGTCTACAGACAACAGGCTCCTTGGCTAGCAAACGGAGAAAGAGCACCTCTCCATGGCCGGAGTTGAGCACTGTCTCCAAAAGTTGGAGATAAAAGAGGAAGCCTTTACCTTTGTTCTGCGTAATTGTGTGTAATTGTTATTCCGCTGTATTAAAAGGCATTGAAGGTTTGCCTATCTGTGTATGTTGTAATCCACTCTGAATCCCCTCGGGGAGATAGAGAGGAATATAAATAAATAAATAATAATAATAATAATAATAATTATAATTATTATTATTATTGAAGTGATGCTTAATCAGCCTTAAATGGGCTTGAGTACTTTATAAATTTTCTTTGAGAACCCATTCAGATCAAGTCAATTGTTTTTTTCTTAAATACCCATCTCTTACTTCATTCTTCTCCCAGAGAGTCAACTCTGTTTTCGTCCGCTCTAACTTTTGGGATCGATCCACCACAAAGTAAATGATGTAAATGCTTCCGGCGAGAGAAAGCAGCACAAGGATATTTGCAATGATCCTCAAAGTTATAGTCACTGCCCTGCCAAAAAAGCATAGGGAAGAATGGCAATTGCTTCCAAAAGATTACATTGAGCAGAGAGAAAGAAAAGGGCTGGACATAAATTGCTATACATACATATTTGTGCTTTTCTTCTTCTCTTGTTCTTCTAGTATCGCTTCCTGGAAAGAGTCCAAAAGATACTGAAATACCGTGAAATATCACAATGTGTACATTGACTGTGCTAAGTAGGGATGATGCATGTTGTTGTACAGCACAAAGAAATCCATTAATTTTGGATTTGCCCCATTTTCCAGTCTCATCCCAAACATCTGCCATTTTTCACCAGTTTTTCTGAAAATCTGGATTCACAAATTTTTGCATATACACGTTTTATGCAGGTGTACCTAATATACACATATTTGCATGTAATTTGATAAACACAATACATTATTCATATTTATTTAAACACAATTGAAAAGACATGAATTCATAATGTGTTAGAGAATTCCACGGCTAAATGTAGAAACTCAATTGCATGTTGTTGTTGTGTACCTTCAAGTTATTTCAGACTCACAGTGACCCTAAGGCAAACCTATCACAGGGTTTTCATGCCAAAATTTGTTCAGAAGGGGTCTGCCTTGGCCTTCCTTTGAGGCTGAGAGAGTGTGTCCTTCCTAAGGTCACCACTGGGTTTGTGGGGCTGTGTGGGGATTTGAGCCCTGCTGTAGTCCAAAACCTGACACTGGTCTAAATCCCTAACAACACCAGATGCTACCTGATTTTGGAAGATGAGCAGGGTTAGCCTGGTTAGTACTTGGCTGAGAACACCTCTGAGTATTCCTTGCTGAAGAAAGAAAATTCATAGGATCATAGATTATTTTAAAGCAGTGCTTCTTAAACTGTGAGTACTTGACCCCAAATGGGATCCCTTTAACTCAATGTTGGGTCTTAAATTTGTCAACAGTAAAAGGTTTTTGAATGCCATTTAGTGGCTGCTTTAGACATTTACTCAAATCTGTAGTGTGTATACAAATGGACTCTGCAGAAGATGCTACAGCTGTACTTCATAAAAAGTAAGATCAGCCTGTCTTGCAAGCCTTGCAAGTGATGATTTGTTATCAGTAAATGCTTGATTTTTATACCTACTTTATATATCCTATTCTAAAGCCTGTGACTGTGTGGATTATAATAAATTGTGGCAAATTCTTGGTGGTATGGAGATAACCAAGCCACCTTGTTTGTCTCCTGAGGAATCTGCAACCAAGTAGCAACAGTAAGGACAGACCACAGAACAACCAACTGGTTCAAGATTGGGAAAGGAGTACGGCAGGGCTGTATACTCTCACCCGATTTATTCAACTAGTATGCAGAATACATCATGCAGCATTCGGGGCTTGACGAATCCAAGGCTGGAGTTAAAATTGCTGGAAGAAGCATTAACAACCTTAGATATGGAGATGATACCACTTTGATGGCCAAAAGTGAGGAGGAGCTGAGGAGCCTTCTAATCAAGGTGAAAGAAGAAAGTGCAAAAGCTGGGTTGCAGCTAAACATCAACAAAACCAAGATTATGGCAACTGGACTGATCAATAACTGGCAAATAGAGGGAGAAAACATGGAGTCAGTGACAGACTTTGTATTTCTAGGCGTGAAGATGACTGCACACACACACACACACACCACAGCCAGGAAATCAGAAGACTTTTCCTTCTTGGGAGGAGAACAATGACCAATCACACTGGCAATGAAGATCCACATAATTAAAGCAGTGGTATTTCCTGTAGTAGCCTATGGATGTGAGAGCTGGACCACAAGGAAGGCTGAGCGAAGGAAGAGAGATGTTTTTGAACTGTGGTGTTGGAGGAAAATTCTGAGAGTGCCTTGGACCGCAAGAAGATCAAACCAGTCCATACTCCAGGAAATAATGCCCAACTGCTCACTGGAGGGAAGGAGATGAGAGGCCAAGATGAAGTACTTTGGCCACATCATGAGAAGACGGGAAAGCTTGGAGAATAGGATGATGCTGGGGAAAATGGAAGGAAAAAGGAAGAGGGGCCGACCAAGGGCAAGATGGATGGATGGTATCCTTGAAGTGACTGGCTTGATCTTGAAGGAGCTGGGGATGACGATGGCTGACAGGGAGCTCTGGCGTGGGCTGATCCAGGAGGTCACGAAGAGTCGGAAATGGCTGAATGAATAAACAACACTTTGTATACCCAGGAACATGTAAACAAATTTCAGACAGAAAGGGGTTGTGAGCAGAAAAGATTTAAGAAGCCCTGCTTTAAAGCATGTGCATATACAAGACCGGTCCATGGCACAGCTAGTTAGTAGCCAGCTGTATTAAATCACTACTGACTGAGAGGTCATGAGTTTTAATCTAGCCGGGGCGGAGTAAGCTCCCGACCATTAATAGTCTAGCTTGTTGTCAATCTATACAGCCTGAAAGACAGTTGCATCTGTCAAATGGGAAATTTAGGTACCGCTTTATGCAGGGAGGCTAATTTAACTAATTTACGACACCATAAAACCTTCCAGCAGCATGCAGAAGAATGAGGAAGTACTCCATCAAAGGACTCGGTGTCACAAGTGGATGGTGAAGCGGCAGCTCCTCCTGTGGCCAGAATCGAGCATACCCTCATGAAGCCGGAATAGCTGGAATGTTAAATGCCTCTGTGTCTGTCTATATACATTGTATGTCTAAAGGCATTGAATGTTTGCCATGTATATGTGCATTGTAATCTGCCTTGAATCCCCTGCGGGGTGAGAAGGGTGGAATATAAATACTGTAAATAAATAAATACAGCTATAGGTTCTTGTGTAAAACATGTAAAACTGGGCAAGATCTATTAAGAAATAAAAATCTTTTCCCAGTGGTCTTGAGCATATTAAGATCTGAGAAATTGCTTCGTAATATATTTGTTCCATTTCTTTTTAAACAAATCATGAACCACCTACCCTGATGCTGTTAACAATGGCCGCAGATTTGCTCTCTGCAGCCTCAGGGTTGCCAATAAGATAATCCCAGGCACAGAACACTCTCCAGCAAAAGGTGTAATTTTCATCAGAGGCACTTGCAAGGCTCATTCTTGAATTTTTAGCCATCCTGGAAAAGAAGAATGAAGAGGACCCATGCTGAACAGCTTGCTTTTGAGGTGAGCCAGACAGTTACCTCCCTTAGAAATGTTGAATGTTTCATATTGCTTTATGCCCTGAGTCCCTTTAAGGAGATAGAGCGGAATATAAATAAATAAATAAGTAAATAAATAATTATTATCATTTGAACTACCATGAGTCCACAGCAGACATTCTGCTGGCTATTGTATTGGATCACACATCAGATACTTCCCAAGTGTCTAGGACTATGTGATGTATTGGCCAATAACGTGTGCAGATCCCAGTAAGTGACTTTCTGCAGCTGGTAGATGGTAATCTTGTCAGTGCCAATTGTGTTTCAGTGCAGGCCAAGGTCTTCAGGCACTGCACCCAGTGTGCCGATCACCACTGGGACCACCTTGACTGGCTTGCAGTTCAATCTTTAAAGCCTCATATCGTGTCAGCTTTTCCAGTTGTTTCTCTTCAATCCTGCTGTCACCTGGGATTTCAACATTGACAATCCATACTTTGATGATGATAATTATGATGATGATGATGATGATGATGATGATGATTATGCACCGGGATTGTGGTGCAGCTGGCTGAGTGTCAGCTGCATTAAGATCACTCTGACCAAAAGGTCATGAGTTCGAAGTGAGCCCGGGTTGGAGTGGCTTTCCAATCAATTGTGTAGCCTATTGTTGACCTTTGCAACCCAAAAGACAGTTGCATCTGTCAAGTAGGAAAATTAGGTACCACCTTAAAGTGTGGGGAGGCTAAATTAACTGATTTATGAAGCCATAAAAAAGACTCCAGTAAGCACTACAGCAAAAAGCATGCGAGGAATGCGGAAGTGCTTCACCAGTGTCACAGATGGACGATGAAAGCGACAGCTTCCCTGGCGGCCAGAAAAAGTTAAATAGCCTCTGTGTATGTCTGTATACATTGTATGTCAAAAATTGGCATTGAATGTTTGCCATATATGTGTACACTGTAATCCGCCCTGAGTCCCCTGCGGGGTGAGAAGGGCGGAATGTAAAAACTGTAAATAAAGTAAAATAAATAAATATTATTATTACTATTTATATTACTGGAAAAGGATATACAACTTGAGAGGAAAGGGTCTAGAACAATTTTTAGCCTTCCCCTCCAAATTGCACTGCATTCGTAATATAAAAGATCAAACTAAAGTAAAAAGGATTGCTTTACTTCTTTAAAAGGATGATGAAACTGTATGCGAAGACGGCCATCCCAACAAGGAAGTATGCAAGTGGCAGTCGATAGCCAGCCGTTCCAATCTTTCTTGCCTGGCCATAGTAGCCATAGAATAAAACGGAATACTGGAGATAACCCTGCAATTAAAAAAATAAGACAAATGAAGGAAGCACTATCAAGACACACACCCCTTCCCTCCATCCCATCATATGTGTGGGCATGAAATCCAGATTCTCCATCTTGCCCCCAAAGACCAGATGGTATCCAAGTCTTGTGCTGATTTCAGTTGGTCCTGCGGGATGCGTTTGCTGGGAGTGGTTCCAAAAGGGTCTCCAGCCAGGATCTACAATAAAAACAATGGCTGAAAAGGAAACCCATCTCTGGTAGATAGAAATGACTGTGGTGTTTGTTTCCAAAAGGTACCAAATAAAGAAAAGATTGAAGAACGAGTTATGGGTGGCAGCAGTGGAATATTATGCACAGATCAAAACTATCAAAATGCATTAAATCACTTTGAAACAACAAGGCTTAGGCAATTGCATTTTATAGCATAAGAATACATATCCTCATATAATTGAAAGGTTGCAGGTTCGAATCTGGGGAGCGGCGTGAGCTCCTGCTGTTGGTCCCAGCTTCTGCCAACCTAGCAGTTTGAAAACATGCAAATGTCAGTAGATCATAGGTACCGCTCTAGCGGGAAGGTAACTACACTCCATGAAGTCATGCTGGCCACATGACCTTGGAGGTGTCTATAGAAAATGCCGGCTCTTCGGTTTAGGAATGGAGCTGAGCACCAACCCCCAGAGTCAGACATGACTGGATTTAATGTCAGGGGACTACCTTTACCTACATATCCTCAGCATATTTCCCCCCCTCTCAATTTCTGTAAAATTTGTTTAGACACATTTGGTACCTTTTGGAAACAAACTCTGCAACTGAGCCCTATCTATTTGGGAATAGATAGGACTACTAAGCAACTACAACTCTGGTCAACCATGGACAAAACATTTGTACTTTAGCTTCACCCACCTATCAATGGGAAGGGATAACATACAAGGCCATGGTAGGAAAACTGAATATGAATATATTAAATAATGTAAATGTGCCATTCAACACACTGATGGAGACTGTATTTTGTAGCAATTTGATGTAGTTGGTGCATTTCTTTATTTGTTTGTTTATTTATTTACTTACAGTATTTATATTCCATCCTTCTCACTCTGAAGGGGGCTCAGAGTGGATCACAGAATGCATACACAGCAAACATTCAATGCTGTTATATACTGACAAGATAGAGAACTGTACATAGATAGAGGTATATATAGGCTTTCCCATCTTCGGCATCTTAGAGGCTCTGCTCGGTTCTGGCCACGGGGGTGTGTGTGGGTGTGTGCTGTCACTACATTTTCCCTGCTGAAGAGCTTTGTTTGTAAACCTCCTCCTTGATTGAATTGCTGGCATTTTCCTGGCATTTCTTTATGGGTGCATTAAATACTTCCCTGCTTTAAAGCAATACCTACTTATCGACTCACATTTGTTTTCAAACTGCTAGGTAGGTAGAAGCTGGGCTAAAGGCCATGAGCTCACCCCGATCCAGGTTTTGAAATATCAACCTTTTGATTGGCAAGATTTACTGCAGTTGGTGGTTAACCTTCTGTGCTACAGCCCTTCCCTGTAGATACTGGAACCTTACAGCCATCATGGTGATTTGAGTATTGAACTACAACTCCAGAAACCAGAGTTACCATTCAATAACATCTGGTAAAAACTAAACAACTCCAACGCCTATTTAAAAATATTATAATTGGCTCTCTGTATCCATGGTTTCTCCATCCATGGATTCAACGGCCCTTTGGAAGCAACCATAAGGGCGAACATGAGCTTGACACATCGGCCTTAGGGTCCCCATAAACCAGAAATGACTTGAATCCACACAACAACAACTTCTCACTAAATTTCAAAACAGTTTAAAAACCAGATGTATTTCCCTTTGTCATGCCCGTTCCCCCATGTATACACTAATTTTACTGCTTCATGAATGCTTTCATAGAATCAAAGAGTTGGAAGAGACCTCATGAGCCATCCAGTCCAACCCCATTCTGCCAAGAAGCAGGAATATTGCATTCAAATCACCCCTGACAGATGGCCATCCAGCCTCTGTTTAAAAGCTTCCAAAGAAGGAGCCATTTCTGAAATGTCACTGAACACACACTGATTTACAAACCATCACTTACCTCTGGTAACACAACAAAGGCTCCTGTCATGATGGTGAGGACAATATTGATACCAAACAACCATCTCAGAAAAATGAAGTAAGATGCGACTCCGGAACCAAAATGGCCTGAAACCAAAAAAAAAAAAAAAAAAAAAAAAAAAAGGGGGGGGGGCTTAGGGGAATTGTGAAATTCACAGCTGTTTCACTAAGAGACAACAGACAAGGACAGGTTATTTATCTTTAGCTTCTATTTATTTATTCATTTATTTATTTACTGCGCTTATATACCGCAATTCTCAGCCCTAGGGCGACTCATTGCGGTGTACAACATTGAAAAACAGGTGCAAAATACAAAACATAGTGTAAAATAATCCACAATTCCACATTATCAGAAAACATCTCATCAAAACATCAACATTACTACTATTACTTCTAGGTCAGGCATGGGCAAACTTGGGCCCTCCAGGTGTTTTGGACTTCAACTCTCACAATTCTTAACAGCCTCAGGCCCTTTCCTTTTCCCCTTAAAGCGGAATATAAATAAAGTGCATTATTATTATTTTTATTATTGGTAGTAGTAGTAGTATCATCTGAATTGTATTGTTAATTTAAAACAAAATTTGAAGACATTTCCTTGACCGTAGTCCTTTTCTGCTGCAATTCTTTGGGAATCTTTATACTTACTTTCGATTTTCTTGATTCTCATTTCCCAAGGAATAAAGATGACCATAAAGTTGTATGCGAGCCGAACAAATTTACGCCAGAGCTAGAAAAAGCACACAATTAGAAAAAAACACAACTTTATTTGTTATGAAACAATGGCAATCCCTATTCAGATAAGTTTCCCTTTCATCTGAGTGATAATTACAGTTGATATCCCTGCTGTGGCAAAGGTTTCCACTGATTCTTCAAATGAGTTGGATACATTAGGAAATTGCAGTATTACAATAGTTGTTGGCTGGATCTACAATGCAATATAATGCAGCTTCAAAATGCAAGTTAATGGCATGGAACTGGATTATTTAATAGTAGTACTTTTTGTAGTAGTAGTAGTAGTAGTAGTAGTAGTAGTAGTAATCCATGGATGGAAAATTGAAAAGTTGACAACAGATCCCAAGTGTACTCTGCAAGGAAGCAGATGAACCAACAGATCCCATCCTCAGCTCCTGCAAGAAGATTGCACAGACAGACTACAAGCAGAGGCATAACACCATTGCTCAGATGATCCATTGGAACTTGTGCCACAAATACAATCTGCCTACGACAAAGAATTGGTAGGATCACAAGCCGGAAAAAGTTACAGAAAATGAACACATCAAACTACTCTGGGACTTCCGAATTCAGACTGACAGAGTTCTGGAGAACAATACTCCTGACCTCACGATCGTGTTAAAAAACCACGTATGGATTGTTGATGTTGCAATCCCAGGTGACAATAGGATTGAAGAGAAACAACTGGAAAAGCTGACATGATATAAGGATTTAAAGATCTAACTGCAAAGACTCTGGCACAAGCCAAGGTGGTCCCAGTGGTGATCGGCACACTGGGTGCAGTGTCTAAAGATATTGGCCTGCACTTAAACACAATTGGCACTGACAAAATTATCATCTGCCAGCTGAAAAAGGCCACTTTACTGGGATCTGCACACATTATTCACCGATACATCACACAGTCCTAGACATTTGGGAAGTGTCCAACGTGTGATCCAATACAACAGCCAGCAGAGTGATCTTGTCTGCTGTGGACTCATCTTGTTGTGTTTCAAATAATAATATACTTTATTTATATTCTGCCCTATCTCCTGGAGGAACTCAGGGCGGATTACAGTACACATATATGGTAAACTTTCAATGCTGTTATACAGTTAACAAAGACAGACAGTATATAAACAGAGGTAAAGGTTTCCCATCTTTTCCCATCTCTGGCATCTGGAGGCTGTGCTCCACTCTGGCCATGGGGAAGTGCTGTTGCTCCATCTTCCATGCCGAGGAGCTTTGTTGTCTTTAGACACTCTCGTAAATCACCAGCATGTCTGCATGGACACATTTTATTACCTCCCCGCCAAAGCGGTACCTATTTATCTACTCACATTACTGTGTTTGAACTGCTAGATGAGCAGAAGCTGGGCTGACGGTTGGGTGTTCACCCCAGTCCAGGCTTGAAATGTCAACCTTTAAATTGGCAAGATTTTCTGCAGTTGGCGGTTTAACCCGCTGTACTAAAACCCAGCCCAATATAGCAATGTCGACTCATATAATCCAGTGCAAGGCAGCTAATCTACATTATATGGCAGTGTAGATCCAGCCATTGTTCTGTTTCTTTGAGTTTTTAAAAAGAAGTATCAAACAATATTTATGTTGTCCCTGAATATGTTACCTAAGATTATTCCCAGGATCAGCAGCATCATTTCAACACTACCTTCAAGAGGGCTTTCCCCACTAAACATCTCAAAAAAAAAAAAAAGGTATTTTTCTCTTGTCTTCCTTCCATTGAGTTACAGCGTGTCAGTAAAATCATAACTTGAATAATGTTTAAAACAGGAATATATTTATGCTTCACATCATCGGTTAATCTCAGCAAACCACAGAGCCCTGATCCAAAAAATTGCAGATGCATCTGGAAACAACAACTAGCAAAATCTGGCAAAGCCAAGGAAGTAAACAATGCATGTTTCTTTAGTTTAGATCAATCTGCAAGAGCCCTCTGCTGTATTTCTGCCTGAAACAATAGTTAAAACTATAAAAGCACAGACAGAAAACAAAATTAGCAATCTGTAGGTTGCTGTGTTCTTTCAGCTGTGAAATATGGGAAGTACTTTGCTTTGTGTCATCGTTTCCATGAAAAGTGAGTTCTGGAGATGCTGACGAAAAGCAGACCTACCTCTGCTCCAGCTGCCTGGTAGCCTCTTGTCCGAGTCAGGCGGCCTTCGTACTTCAACACAATTTCTTTCGCTTGCCTGCTGATAGAGAAGAAAGTGTGGCCCCGTGTGCCCAAAGGGACCCTTTCTGAGCCCCTGCCATTCCCCCCTCATTCATAACTGCAAACAGATGTGAATTAATTCTGAAAATATGCAACGGTAAACCAACTGTCTCCTTCAAGTTCCCCCCTTTCAAAAGTAAGATGGGATTCCATTTGTTCTTGATACTCTGCTGCAAGGATCAGTCAACCTCTGCAAGGTCTTGGAGACATGAAGAACCGGATGGGTATATCTGTCACACTTCATATAAAAAAGCAAATTGTCAAATATATAGGGTTGTTGTAGGTTTTTTCGGGCTACATGGCCATGGTCTAGAGGCATTTTCTCCTGATGTTTCGCCTGCATCTATGGCAAGCATCCTCAGAGGTAGTGACGTCTGTTGGAACTAGAAAAATTAGGTTTATATATCTGTGGAATGACCAGCTTGTCTGTTGGAGGTAGGTGTGAATATTTCAACTGACCACCTTGATTAGCATTTGATGGGCTGGCCATGCCTGGAACAATCTTTTGTTGAGAGGTGATTAGATGTCCTTGTGTTGTGCTGTTCTAATTTTAGAGGTTTTTAATACTGGTAGCCAGATTTTATTCATTTTCATGGTTTCCTCCTTTCTGTTGAAATTGTCCACATGCTTGTGGATTTCAGTGGCTTCTTTGTGTAGTCTGACATGGTGGTTGTGAGAGTGGTCCAGCATTTCTGTGTTCTCAAATAAACATGAAAAGCACATGGCCATATAGCCTGAAAATGCCTCTAGAACATGGCCATATGGCCAGAAAAAACCTACAACAACCCAGTGATTCCAGCCATGAAAGCCTTCGACAATACATTTTCAAATATATATTTTTCCCACTGAAAATAGTCTGATAGAGAGAGAGAGAGAGAGTCTTCAATTATAAGTACTACTTTATGGGGCCACAGTGGCACAGCCGGTTAAATTGCTAAGCTGTAGAACTTGCTGATTGAAAGGTCAGTGGTTTGAATCCATGGATGGGATGAGCTCCCATTGTTAGCCCCAGCTCCTGCCAACCTAGCAGTTTGAAAACATGCAAATGTGAGTAGATCATGCCTGCCACATGACCTTGGAGGTGTCTACGGACAATGCCGGCTCTTCGGTTTAGAAATGGAGATGAGCACCACCCCTCAAAGTTGGACACGACTAGATTTAATGTCAAGGGGAAACTTTTACCTTTACCTACTTTAAGAGTACATGATATGGCCTGTTCCTGACATGAAACAATCAGGGCCAGCTAACACCTCCCAACAAATGACCCCTCCAGTCAGGAAGCAGCCAGCCTTTTAAGCTGCAAGTCCATTTGATGCTAATCAAGGTGGCCAATTGCAACATTCACACTTGCTTCAAACAGACAAGAGTTCTGGGTTGTTGTAGGTTTTTTCGGGCTGTATGGCCATGGTCTAGAGGCATTCTCTCCTGACATTTCGCCTGCACTTTGGTAAGCATCCTCAGAGGTATCGAGGCATCCTTAGAGGTAGTGAAAGACAAGAGTTCTTTCTCCCACCCTGGACATTATTCCATAGATATATAAACCTGCCTAGTTTCCAACAGAATTCACAACCTCTGAAGATGCCTGCCACAGATGTGGGAGAAACGTCAGGAGAGAATGCTTCTGGAACATGGCCAGACAACCCGGAAAACTCACAGCAACCCAATCATCTGAATTGATTGAACTGGAGACAATTATAGCACTATAATTCCATCTCCAAATAGGACAAGGTAACGATGGAGAAACCACCCCTGTCCCCATTTCTAAGGCCCCCATCTTTTAAAAAAAATGCACCATGACTCCGAAGTACCAAACGTAACAGATGATTTCTTTCTTGGCAGCATTTATGTGGAGAAGCTTCTTCACCTGAGTGCCCTGAGTTTCTGCCTCATGGGCCACGGTCTGCAACGGATGTTGGCGATGATCTCCTTCTGGAACTGTATGTTCTGGAAGATCTGCTCTGGGTCATTACTGTCGACCTTTTCCTCTCCTTTGTCTTCATCTGAATTGCTAAAGAGGAGCGGCATCCAATAGGAAACACAAGTTAAATCCACCATATAGGTATTCTTGAAAAAAAATTACAACAATGGTTGTGACTCTGAAATTATCCCACTTTTTCTTGCTTTCCTCCCACCCCAGTCATTACGGCTTTAGCTTTGGATTGAGACGTCTTTCTTTATTTCCGCAAAACCAACTGCTTATTTAATTGCCTTCTGTCGGGATGTTCTTGAAAAGGCAGCTGTGCACAAAGGGAGGCAAAATTGAGATGCCATGTATAAGTATGTGAGGGGAAGTCATAGGGAGGAGGGAGCCCTGGAGACTAGGACGCAACGAAACAATGGCTTCAAACTACAGGAAAGGAGGTTCCACCTGAACATTAGGAAGAACTTCCCAACTGTGAGAGCTATTCATCAGTGGAACTCTCTGCCCTGGAGTGTGGTGGAGGCTCCTTCTTTGGAGGCTTTTAAGCAGAATCTGGATGGCCATCTGTCAGGGGTGCTTTGAATGCAATATTCCTGCTTCTTGGCAGAATGGGGTTGGACTGGATGGCCCATGAGGTCTCTTCCAACTCTAGGATTCTATGATTCAAAACAATGACATGCCACGAAACCCTGTGCTGAATTACTCCTCATTCAAAAACATGAAGCAGGAAGTTTTCTATAGCTAATCATACAATCAACATGAAGTTATGAGTAAACAAACATGATATTTAAAAAAACTGACATAAGAGCAAAGGCGCTCCATGCCGTCATAATGGCACTCCATGCAGTCATGCCGGCCATATGACTTTGGAGGTGTCTATGGAAAATGCCGGCTCTTCCGCTTAGAAATGGTGATGAGTATAATAACTTAGAGGGGTTATCAAGGCAGGGGGTCAAACAATCCCACCGCTGACCCACCAATTATAATAACCTCCTTAAATGGCCGTCTGGGCAGGGGGTCAAAGAATCCCACCTCTACCCCTCCTTCAATAAGGAATTCACACCACTTTGGCTCTTATAGCATTTGAGGGAATGTCTCTTTCTCTAAAACCTTCGCTGCCACCATAAACTGAAGAATAACGAACCCTCTAGCTATTTAGAATGTTAAAAGGCTGTTTAAATTATTAAAAGGTTTTTTTACTCCACCAAAAGGTTGTGTAATAACAAGGGCTTTCTTTGAGGGGAAAAATGGAGAGGTTGATTCAATGAAGAAAAGGACTCCAACCAAAAAATGGCACTTGACTCAGGCTTAAGTTTTAAGAATAACAAGAAAGAGTTTATTGATTACAAATTGAAGAATTATAAGTGAATGCAGGTTCAGAGGCTTAGCGGTTACAAATAAAAGTGTTCTTGTTTCTTAGAAGCGTAATGGTTACTTGAGAGAATGGTTCTTTCCTTTGTTACAATTTTCTTAAACACAAAACCCAGCTATTTTTCCCTAAAATAGCTGTAACCAGTTTGCCACAGACTATTTCACTGTGCAAACTCCAGGCAAACTGCCTATTCTAATAACGAACTCCTAATACATCCAAAACCTACTCTAATCTCTCTCAGAACTGAACTGCTCTCTACTCTACTCAGAACTGCTCTCTTCTAAACTAAAAACGGAACTGTCAAAACTAGGCTGTTCTCTTTCCCTCCAACTGGCTAACTCCGCCCCTCTTTTCCAAACCAATCCTGGCTGTTGCTGGGCTGGCTCAGGCCTAGGCCACTCCCCCTCTCTGAGCTGGAGTTTCCCTAAACTAAGATGGCTCCAGCAGCTCTCTGCCAGGCCTTCCAAGCTGAAACTACCTAGCCTGTCTTTTCCTGGCCCTGCCACCCTGGCTGGCAAGGTAAGGGATCTTTACAATGAGCACCATCCCCCAGAATCGGACCCAATTGGACTGAATGTGAGGGGAAAACCTTTACCTTTACCTAAGACCAAAGGAGGTGTTCAGTATCATTAACATTATTATGTTTCATATATAGATGTGATCAGGTTGAGACAATGGTTAGATATGGGAGATTTAACAGCATTCCCTATAATGAATGGATTTGTATCTGCGAGGCACCTGAAACTGAGAATATAGCACACATATTAGGTAAAGGTAAAGGTTTTCCCCTGACATTAAGTCCAGTCACGTCCAACTCTGGGGGTTGGTGCTCATCTCCATTTCTAAGCCGAAGAGCCGGCGCTGTCCATAGACACCTCCAAGGTCATGTGGCTGGCATGACTCCATGGAGTGCCGTTATTATTATTGGATTGTAAATTGTATCAGAAGGTGAGAGACTTCTACCTTGGTCCATATATCAAATGGACAATGTATTGGGAATCTCACATCAGAACAACACATTTTATGTGCGGCCCAGACCCAAAAATCTATATAAATAAAAATGTAATGTTCGTTTATGGGATTAACATAACTAAAAAACCAGTGGACCAATTGACACCAAATTTGGACACAAGACACCTAATAACTCACTGTATGTCCTTCACTAAAAAAAAAAATGATTTTGTCATTTTGGAGTTGTAGTTGCTGGGATTTATAGTTCACCTACAATCAAAGCATTCTGAACTCCACCAATGATGGAACTGAACCAATCGTGGCACACAAAACTCCTCTTACCAACAGAAAACACTAGAAGGGTTTGGTGGACATTGACCTTGAGTTTGGGAGTTGTAGTTCACCTCCTTCCAGAGAGCACTGTGGACTCAAACAATGATGGATCTGGACCAAACTTAGCATACATATTCCATGTGCCCAACTAGGAACACAGATGGAGCTTGGGGGAAATAGACCTTGAGACTTGGGAGTTGTAGTTACTGTGATTTATAGTTCACCTACAATCAAAGAGCATTCAGAAGCCCACAAATGATAGAATTGGGGCAAACTTCCCACACATAACCCTTATGACCAATAGAAAGTACTTAAGGCCATCCAGTCCAACTCTCTTCACCAGGGCAAGAAAATGTAATCAGAGCCCTCCTGACAGAGAGCCATCCAGTCATAAATATAGATAGATAGATAGATAGATAGATAGATAGATAGATAGATAGATAGATAGACAGACTGGCAGGGGACCACTAGTAACATATAAAACAGCTCTGTATTTAAGCAAAACAGTATGTCTGAGGATCACATATGTGGAGCTGATTGGGGTAAATTGTAAGGGTGATAAGGAAATATGATGTATATACTCAGTTTTATCATATCATATTTATTGACTGTATTGTTATGTGTCTTATTGTATAGCGTGCAATCAAGTCTTATCGAGCCTCGTTGTTTTGTAAAATACTGTATGTATCTTATTCTGATAACAATTTTTGTTGTTTGCATTCTGTATTTTATTGGGTTGTATTGTATCTTTGGGCTTGGCCTCATGTTAGCTGCCCCGAGTCTCCTTTGGGGAGATGGTAGTGGGGTGTAAATAATGATGATGATGATGATGATGATGATAATGATGATTACTATTACTATTATTATTGTGATATGGTCTAAGGCAGTGTTTCTCAACCTTCCTCCTGCCGCGACCCCTTAATAAAGTTCCCTATGCTGTGGTGACCCCCAACCATAAAATTGTTTCCGTTGCTACTTCATAACTGGAATTTTGCTACTGTTCTGAATTGTCATGTAAATAACCGGTATGCAGGATGGACTTTCATTCACTGGACAAAATTTGGCCTAAATACCCAATACGCCCACATTTGAATACTAGTGGGGTTGTGGGGGGGATTGTATCTGTCACTTGGGAATTGTAGTTGCTGGAATGTATAGTTAGTCTACAATCAAAGAGCATTCTGAACTCCAATGATAGAACTGACCCAACTCTGCACACAGAACTCCCATCACCAACAGAGAACCCTGGAAGGTTTGGGTGGGCATTGGCCTTGGGTTATGGAGTTGTAGTTCACCTACATCCAGAGAGCATTGTGGACTCAAACAATGCTGGATCTGGACAAAACTTGGCATGAATACTCAATGTGCCCAAATGTGAACACTGGTGGAGTTTGGGGAAAATCGACCTTGACATTTGGGAGTTGTAGTTGCTGGGATTTATAGTTCACCTACAATCAAAGAGCATTCTGAACCCCAACAATGATAGAATTGAGCCAAACTTCCCATGACCAACAGAAAATACTGTGTTTTCTGATGGTCTTTGGTGACCCCTCTGACACTCCCTCGCAACTCACCCAGGGTCCCGACCCCCAGGTTGAGAAACACTGGTCTAAAGACTAATCAATAAAAAAAATACGACTACTAGGTAGACATGCATAATTTCTTACCTTCCAGGTGGTTCTGCATAGGCGTAGATGCTGGTGTGGCGTTTCAAAGTTTTAGACCTCTTGCAGGATTTTGCATTTTTCTTCGGTGATAATCCAGCTTCTGACATCCTTTAAACCAAAATAAATAGAAGGTTTTAATAGCACCAGTTTTTGGATGTTGTGAACACTAGAAAAACTGTTGGATCTAGGTCTCTCAAAGTCTTAGATGCTGACAAATGTTGATCTTCTGACCTATAAGCGATGCTTTGAAATCAAGGAAGAACCAACCTGCTTTGGCTGTTCTTGCCTGCCCGTGCTTCAAAATATGGGAAAGACAGTGAGCTGGAAACACATGCAGAATCTTAAAGGCACAGCTCAGGAGAACTCTCTCTTGGCGAGTCTCCTCCTACAACAGACATCTAGAGACAAATCGAACCATTCTAGTAGGATTCCCAATCAAGAAGTCTCACCAGTTGAAGAAGAAGCCACCGAGGTATTTTATTCAATCCAGCTGGAAAGGACGACAGCTCATGGTAAGCTGCAAAAGGAAGCTGACATGTTTTGTACAAGTAAAACAGACATTTATATATGTTACTAGCAGAGGCAGCCCTAAGTAATTTTCAACGGTAAGCAAACAGTATTTTGGCACCCCACCTCCCCAACCAATCACTGATATATATTTTCTGTTCATCGTGGGAGTTCTTTGTGCCATATTTGGTTCAATTCCATCATTGGTGGAGTTCAGAATGCTCTTTGATTGTAGGTGAACTATACATCCCAATAACTACAACTTGCATATGTCAAGGTCTATTTTTCCCCAAGAGTTCCCCTGGGCAAAATCAACTATACTGCTAATGCTTACTTTGCGTAATGGGTTGAGCCACCCCTGCTCTTAGGCCATCCAGTCCAACCCCGTTCTGCTAAGAAGCAGGAAAATTGCATTTAAAGCACCCCCGACAGATGGCCATCCAGCCTCTGTTTAAAAGCTTCCAAAGAAGGAGCCTCCACCACACTCCGGGGCAGAGAGTTCCACTGCTGAACAGCTCTCGCAGTCAGGAAGTTATTCCTAATGTTCAGGTGGAATCTCCTTTCCTGTAGTTTGAAGCCATTGTTTTGTTGTGTCCTAGTCTCCTGGGCAAAATCAACTTTACTGCAAATGCTTACTTTGCGTAATGGATTGAGCCGCCCCTGGTTACTAGCTGTCCCCTGCCATGCGTTGCTGTGGCCCAATCTGTGTATATGTGCTTTGCGTGTGTATATGTTTGTGAATATGTGTATATATGTGTGTTTGTGTATATATATGTAGTTTTACACATGTGTTGTAATGTATTATTATTATTTGGCTTTTTAAGTCCCTTCCGCTGTATTTTTCAGTGTTTTTATCAGTGATGGTCACTCATTGGCCTGATACGTGTATTGTCTTCAAATTTGGTGTCAATTTGTCCAGTGGTTTTTGAGTTATGTTAATCCTAGAAACAAACATTAAATTTTTATTTATACTAGTTGTTGCCTGCCACGTGTTGCAGTGGTCCAGTCTGTGTATATGCGTTTTGTGTATGTATATTTTTGTGTATATATGTGTGTTTGCGTGTGGATCCAGAATAGGTCATTGCAGTCACTTACGGACCTGCACCAAGACTCTATTTCTGGAAGACAATCGGATTTGACCACAATTGATCACCTGTGATTTATTTATTTATCATGTCAGGGGCAACCAGACAATTGTATTACATTTCTAACAGAACAAAACAAACAAACAGACAAAACACAAACTTTGCAAGCTTGGTAGTTGATTAAATGTCCTTTGACCAGGATCTGGCCACTTGGAGTGCTTCTGGTGTTGCCGCAAGGAGGTTCTCCATTGTGCATGTGGCAGGGCTCAGGTTGCATTGCAGCAGGTGGTCAGTGGTTTGCTCTTCTCCACACTCGCATGTCGTGGATTCCACTTTGTAGCCTGTGATGATGATGATGATGATGACTACCACTGAGATAGTGAAGAACTGCCCTGGCTTTTTTAGCACCAGCAGCCTTGTTAGTTCCTTTGTTTCCTCTGGACCACAGCTCCTAGACTCTTCCAGCCAACACTACACTAGCCATGATGACTAATTTTACAAGTCCACATCACCTTTTCTATGTTCTCAGAAGACAATAGAATCGCAGAGTTGAAAGAGACCTCATGGTCCATCCAGTCCAACCCCCTGCCAAGAAGCAGGAAAATCACATTCAAAGCACTCCTAACAGATGGCCATCCAGCCTCTGCTTAAAAGCCTCCAAAGAAGGAGCCTCAATCATACTCCGGGGCAGAGAGTTCCCACTGCTGAACAGCTCTCATAGTCAGGAAGTTTTTCCTAATGTTCAGGTGGAATCTCCTTTCTTGTAGTTTGAAGCCATTGTTCCGCATCCTAGTCAACAGAAAACAAGCTTGCTCCCTCCTCCCGATGACTTCCTCTCACATATTTATCTCCTCTGACGTTGTTAACCATCGCTGATAGTGCTGACGACCCTCATTGTGTTAATAACAATAACTATTTCAGTGGTTGAACGGAGATTCTAAGAACTAATAGTTGTATTGCTAATAAGCAAATGTACTATTATTTTATGTGATTTTAGCACTTTACCCGATCAGCACTTTAATTGACTACCTCTGTGGTTAAATTGGGCCAATAATTTATTGAGCTTCAGCACTTTAATTGATCCAACGAACCATCTAGCGTTTAAAGTTAAGTCCTCCATGACGCACTTTATTTAGCACTTTAAAGCTGAGTAAGAAAGCCATTGCACTCTAGTTAATTATACCATCTTGAACGATCATCTGCACTTTAAGAACCTTAGGAAAACTCCTCCGACAGCGCTTAACAGCTACCACTCATGACATTGCCCTGGCAATTGTTAATTTTGTTGTTGATTGCTTATGGTGGAGAGTGGGAACGGAATAGATCTGTAAGATCTGAGTTTAACAAAGCAGGAGTGGAAAGTGGATGGAAGGTAGGACTATGGCAATCTGAAGCCACAACATATCATATAGTTAATAATGAATTGTTTGTTGATACTGTGGCCGTTCAATGCGTCATGGAGGAGGGAGAGGGTTCCGCTAACCGGGGAGCCCCCATAGAAGTCGTGGTGGGGAGGGGGAGATACGGGAAAGGGAGACCTTTAATTCGACCTAGGGAACGGGGGCGGGGAACAACGTTAGTAATTCCAAAACGGTCTCCTGATATGATAAGTTGGTGTAACCAGGATGGCGGTCCCTCCGAATTGAAAGTGGTGCTGTTGAACGCCAGATCTGTCAACGGTAAAACAACTTTCATCCAGGATTTAATCCTGGATGAACGGGCAGATCTGGCGTGCATCACAGAGACCTGGTTGGACGAAGCGGGAGGTGTAAATTTGACCCAGCTTTGCCCACCAGGTTTCTCTGTGCAGCACCAACCGAGATCCGGAGGGCGGGGAGGCGGAGTTGCAGTGGTCTATAGAGATTCCATTCTTCTGACCAGGGCCCCCATCCCGCAGTCAACAAATTTTGAATGCGTCCACCTGAGGGTGGGTGACCGGGACAGATTAGGGATTCTGTTAGTGTACCGTCCACCTCGCTGCACTACAGTCTCCCTGCCTGAGCTAGCGGGGGTGGTCTCGGACCTGGCGTTGGAGTCCCAACGGCTGCTTGTGCTGGGGGACTTCAATGTCCATGCCGAGGCCGCCCTATCGGGAGCGGCTCAGGACTTCATGTCTACCATGGCAACCATGGGGCTGTCCCAACAGGTATCTGGCCCCACCCACAGTGCTGGACATACATTGGACTTGGTTTTCTGCCAGGGATGGGAAGAAGG